CCTCTGTGAAGATCCGTACCATGCTGCTGTGAAGATCCGGGCTACAAATGCTTCAGCAACTCTTGTCCGAGGCTACAAATGAAGCTCAGCAACTTACAAATGATCTTCATCAACTTATGCTTGTCCGCTGTGAACCTCCGGGCTACAATTGATCTCTTCAGCAACTTATGCTTGTCCGCTGTGAAGATCCGGGCTACAAATGATCTTCAGCAACTTATGCTTGTCCGCTGTGAAGATCCGGGCTACAAAATGATCTTCAGCAACTTGTCCTGCTGTCCGCTGTGAACCTCCGGGCTACAATCCGTGATCTTCAGCAACTTATGCTTGTCCGCTGTGAAGATCAGGGCTACAAATGATTTTCAGCAACTTACAAATGCTTCAGCTGTGAAGATCCGCTACAAAGATCTTCAGCAACTTATGCTTGTCCGCTGTGAACATCCGGGCTACAAATGATCTTCAGCAACTTATGCTTGTCCGCTGTGAAGATCCGGGCTACAAATGGTCTTCAGCAACTTATGCTTGTCCGCTGTGAACATCCGGGCTACAAATGATCTTCAGCAACTTATGCTTGTCCGCTGTGAAGATCCGGGCTACAAATGATCTTCAGCAACTTATGCTTGTCCGCTGTCTTCAGCAACTTATGCTTGTCCTCCGGGCTACAAATGGTCTTCAGCAACTTATGCTTGTCCGCTGTGAACCTCCGGGCTACAATTGATCTTCAGCAACTTATGCTTGTCCGCTGTGAACCTCCGGGCTACAAATGATCTTCAGCAACTTATGCTTGTCCGCTGTGAAGATCCGGGCTACAAATGGTCTTCAGCAACTTATGCTTGTCCGCTGTGAACCTCCGGGCTACAATTGATCTTCAGCAACTTATGCTTGTCCGCTGTGAAGATCCGGGCTACAAATGGTCTTCAGCAACTTATGCTTGTCCGCTGTGAAGATCCGGACTACAAATGATCTTCAGCTGTCCGCTTCAGATCTTCAGCAACTTATGCTTGTCCGCTCGAAGATCCGAGCTACAAATGGTCTTCAGCAAACCTCCGGGATACAAATGATCTTCAGCAACTTATGCTTGTCCGCTGTGAAGATCCAGGCTACAAGGGTTGACTTTTTGGAAGGGTGATCAGGCTCACTGATCTGGTTGGTAATTTGATCCCAATTGTGAAGATCGATGTTAATATCAATCACTGAATTATCCGATTCAGGCTCGATTTAAGGACCTCGATTATATAGTTCGATTACATGTGGACAAACACGCAATGACTTTTTAGTTGGCGCCAATGATATCAGACAAATTTCTTGAACTATCAATGTGCTTTGAATACATTTCTAAACAATACATTTGAGATCAAGAGATATGCAAATGCAAAGAGGAAATAGCGATGCTTAACTTTTTTCAGATATGTAGTTGTGCTCTGTTTCTAATACAGAGACATAAACAACCCCTGAAAAAACAAGATGCGTCACCTGTATGTGAAATTATAAGGTAGTTCTGTTGTTTTCTCGGCATTACGTAATTGTCCTCGGGGGAAATGTTCAATTACTTGCGTTTTATCTGTCTGCTTCCGTTTCTCTCCATTATCGACCGATAATTGAAATTGGAAACTTTTAAAAACACCGAACACTTTGGATTAGCTGTGCTCCCGTGAAATCTCGTATTGCATTCGAAATAACTCCCATCCAAGTCGTAACTTTTAAACATGTAAGAATATTAAAGTTAACCCTGTCGATGTTAAAAAAATACACAAGATAAACCGCACGTAAAGCCACGATCTGTTGCAATTGGCGTTATAGTAAAATATATTCATGAACAGGATCCCAGCAAGATTTGAATGCACAAAACCCAAATCACCTTGTAATGGTTGCCAATTGCCAGAACCCACGTTCAGTTGAACGTTAGAGGTTAACGCAAGAAATAAAAAGAACGATCACCTCTCGATGTTTTCAAGTTGTTTTGAGGCGCAAGTCCTAGCCATAAACATGACAGTGAAACTGTTACCCATTCTGGCATTCGCTGAAGCTGTGGTAGAGCTCTATTCCAAGCTTTATCAGGCCATATTACAGAATTTGATCGCAGATCAAACGAAGCCTGTGGCTGTAATTTACTACAGGGAGTATGACGGATGTTTTCATCGGACTCTCGTCATTAAATTCAGTGCGTGTTTTTTCACAGATTGAGAAAGATGTACCTGCAGGCTTGTAGTGTTGCACTCAGCTATTGAATTACACTGGTTTGATGTTGAGAGGCGATATGATGTCTAAACGTTGACAGAGTCAACAATTTTGTGTCGGGTTTTTTTCACCTTCCGTTTTAATCCAGACTGGAGACGTTGAGGTGTCCAATGCCGCCCGATGTATGCGAGTCGAATTTCCTTGTTATTTCGAATTCATCTTTTCTCTGAAACATGTCGAATTAGAGTACAGCTTTCACCGATTGTTTTCACAAGATTTTTGTAATTTCGGCTATTTCATAATGTCAAAATGTCCGTTCTGGAAGTCAGTCGACATATCCCCACGTCTCAGTGACGTTCACGCCACAACGTTGATCACGCCAAAGTATTGCCAACATACCCGCAGGTAGATATTGTTTTGTTTGTTTCTTGCTTAATGCCGTACTCCGCAATATTCAAGCTGCATAACTGGAATCTGTAAATATAGGAGTTTGCTCACGACAATCCAGTGATTGACATCATGAGCAAAGACTTACGCAAATGGGGGACGACGAAATGTATCAACCAAGTCAGCGTGCCTGGGAGACTAACAACTAGTCTCTGAAATGAACATATTTTACTGAAAAAAGTTCATAGTAAAAAAAAATTATAATATAATGAAAAGGAGCCCTGAGACTTTCTTCATTTCCTGAAGCTGAGGAAATCTAGACTTGACACATTTTGTAGACTTGCGTGGGCTTTCTTGGATATATTTGCTTCAGGGTCTGTACGACAGACTACGTGCCTGGCTATACGCTTCCGTTAGACGCCTCTTACCATAAGCATGGGTTGCTGAAATTCTAACCCGGATCTTAACCGGTGAAAGACCTTCTCAGCATGGTAAATACACGGATGTGACACATGCAGTATTGCTAGATGGGACGTGACAGAAGGTGTAAACCTAGGTTTCATAAACTGGCTACAGAAGAGCACAGAATTTTAAAGTTTGCCGTGAAGTCGAAACACAAACTATTCAGCTTAAAATATCCAAACATTAATATCATGTTGGCGTTAATGCATGGCTTCTTATCCAAAAAAAAATAAAATTCTATTTCTATTCATGACTATAGAATTCCACACCGTAAAACAAGAAACGTCCTTTAGCAGAATCAAGTAACATATATTTGTTGTAAGCGCTGTTTAAGTAATGTATTAGAAAAGCCTCACGTGTATACTGAAACCGGGATTATGGCACAAACATTGTATTAACGTTAAAAGACCATTTTATGTAATGTTCGATGTGTGATGTCAAACATTCTAAAAGGTGAATGTGATAAGGTGAAATGGACTGGCAGTCTTTCGAAACTACTTACTTCTCCGAGTCTAACCTTTACTTTAGTGAGTTTAGTTTTAAGCCGCACTCAGCCACATTCCAGCTATATGGCGGCGGTCTGTAAATAGTCGAGTCTGGACTAGACAATCCAGTGATCAACAGCATGAGCATCGATGTACGCAATTGGGAACCGATGTCGGCGAGCCTGACCAACCGATCCTGTTACTCGCCTCTTACAAGCGTGGGTTACTGAAGATCAATTCTACCCCGGATCTTCACGGGTACTTTACTGTAGGACATGTAATCAGTTTCTGAAAAGCAACTGGAAGTTGGCTAAACCTCCCAAAGGAAGTGGTTGTACTTTTTGCGATTCAAAATTAATTGGAGACAATGTCAATGGTTTTAAAATGGCCACACTTGATGTACGACCATAAATCATTATTGAAATACTGCAGTACAAAAACAACTCGAGTTTAAGGACTTATCTCGGATCTTAAAACACATCACTATGAAAATCAAGTAATACTTTGTCATCTTGCTGTTCTATTTGTACCACAGCAGTGGTTTATTATTTGAGGAATAAATTTGAAACATGTACTATACTACTACAAAACATTAGGAATTTCCGTCACTACATTATCGACATTAGAGTGAGTGAGTTTAGTTTCACGCCGCACCCAGCAATATTCCAGCTATATGGCGGCGGTCTGCAAATAATCGAGTCTGGACCAGACAATCCAGTGATCAACAGCATGAGCATTGATCTGCGCAATTGGGAACCGATGACATGTGCCAACCAAGTCAGCGAGCCTGACCGATCCCGTTAGTCGCCTCGTAGGACAAGCATAGTCGCCTTTTGTGGCAAGCATGGGTTGCTGAAGACCTATTCTACCCCGGATCTTCACGGGTTATCGACATTAGGACTAAATAACTGGGGACATCAATGTATACAGGCAGCTATTCACGCCCTTGTAGTTAAAGTCTCTACCCAGAAATAGGTATTACCACCAGCATACAGGTCATTCCGTTAGCTGATACAAGTGTTGGATATTCCACATGTACTTCCTTATCACCAGATGGGATGAATAAAAATATGTTGAAACTAAAAAACTTTTTTTTTCAAGTCAGCATCAAGAAATAAGAGTGATAATGTGTGTTGTTTTGTTCATCTGAGAGGTCTTGATGTGATTACTGTGTACGTCATAGTTTCACTTATTACATCTAACCAGTTTGTAGTGGACTTCCTGGTGCAGTCTAATGGTAGCAAATGGCCACTGCCACTAGCTGTAGCTTATTGGAACAGTTACCTCTGCACTGGAAGGGTTGGGTTAGCCAGGTCAAATTATCCCATTCTAAACATGACATTCCCAGTTACTGTCACTGTTGACTTTCATGTCCACTGTCCAGTGAGAATGCTGTTGGCTTAATTTTCAGTACCTTGTATTATATCACAATGCATTTTTCTAAATAATTCAGTACAATTTTGCAACATCAGTTCAAAGAAAATACAATTATTTTTGAAAGATCAATATATTTATTTTCATTCAAAAGATCAGTCATAATTTCCATAAATAAATATGTAAGCACAGTGCTGATGCGGATAGGAATATGTAATAAATACACTCATCATTTCTTTACATAATTACAAAATGTACATAGATAAAATATATTTTCTCTTTCACAAAATGTACATAGCATACCTGCACACTGACACATAACCTCTTACCATCCACACCATGACTTACAATCTACGGTAATAAAGAGGCTGTTACATTAATAGAATGATTAATACATGAAATAAAACAGTACACGAATGCACACAGATATACCAAACACAAGGAATCGTATCATCCTGGATTAATATTTTAATAACACTTCGAACAATATTTCACTGTTGTCAGCTAATAGATGAGAGAGCAAAAATGAAGTGCAGAGCATAATAGGTAATTTTGGCCTTGAAAATAAAGAATGTTAAAAAATTATTACCAATTTCAATATTATAACAATACCATGTCAATTTTCCAAAAATACAATGTCAATATTTCAATATTGTCATTATGATTAGTTCCAAAACATACATTATTGACATGTCTACCTGCAAGACAAAAACTTAAGACAGATGTGACATTGACAGCTGGCGCTGGGATGGAATGATTCAATGACAAAACAAATGTATTTTTTCATCTATCAAACATACACAATCACAATCTCTCTCATTCAGCCAGCCTTTGACAACCAAGGCCCATTTCAATCAAGTCTGCTCCTAAATCAACATCATGACAAGGGAGGTAACTGCGATCACGAGCCTCTATAAGTCAGGTTAACAGGAGTGGTCCTGAATCATATTTTAATGATGGACATGTAACCTAGGCTACAAATCTAATATCACAGCTGTACCTTGATAGTTACACACTTTCAACAAGTAATGTTCTTAAACAAAACACCTTAAACATACAAACAAAACATAAGCTGGGGCTACTCTTCCTCCCTGTGTATCCTTCAGTTATTCATCAAAACTGACATTCTGAATATCATCCTGTCTGAAAACAGGGTTTCATTTCCTCAGTAAGCCTTACTCACCTACCTCTATTACAGGGAAGATATTGATATAGGATATTGGGAAGATCTTTAACACCTACAATACAGAAAATGCAACCAAAGCTGTTTAACCCCAATTTCAGTACCCCCTTTTTCATGCCGAAACAAACAAGGAATTATAGAAAAAGATGAAAACTGAACAGTTAGGTGCTTATTTTCAGCAATACATTATTTTCAAGGATATTTCCAATTATTGTCGTACATGGATACATATGCAATACTTTTTTGTGAAACTATATAAAAACCAATCAGAAACAATGAAGATAAATAAATCTGACAGAATCAAGAGCGGGATGACATATCAGATTTATGCACATTGCTTACTGAGTTGTCTGAAGCCATGAAACATGATTTATATTATGACATCCTAGCATAAAAAACATGATCAGCCAAGGATACAATGGCTGATCAGTAATGTGCAGTCTAATGTGTAATAAATGCCCTCATAAATGCCATAATACTCCAAGGTGTACATGAATGGTGTTCCATCACACAAATCTGTGTGTATCCACATATCTGACCTGCAGGAGGCTTGTGTACCAACAATGACAATTTAAACAGGAAGTGTCTCCAGGGGGAGGGCAAGTTTAATGCCTCATCCAGAATCTTCAAGTCGTTTTCAACAAAGATATATTTGCCAGTACACAACTGACTTTCACAAATAGTTCAAAATAGCCAGTCTGTATTTTGTTAATGAAGAAATTGACACATTTTGACAACTAGGACAAGGACAATATGCAAAGGGTAGCATGATCTTTGAGACAATTACATTCCATGCTATTTTTTCAAAAACAACTTGTTGAAAAATCTGTTTTGTAATGAATACCAATATTAACAAATACAACATAGGTTCTTTGCAAGCCAGTCTGTGTTTGTAAAATGCGAGGTGTATTTCTTTTGTAATTGTGTACCTGGATAGCCTGCCTAGTGATACCAGCAGGACTAGTTCATCTTAGTTGGACACTGTTGGTGTGATCAACCAAGTCAACAAGCTACCCTCAACATGGTACATGATACATCATTTCAAAGGCTGCACAATGCTTCATATACCCCAGTAACTCATTCAAACTACTCATCACGTCTGAACACATTAACGAAACTCAACCATATAATTTATTAATATCACTCTCAGATCGATATTGCATCTCAACCCTTAATTCATGATATGGATTGTCATTCTATTTGTCAGTGATGGACAGATAACGAGTTGGATTAGATGTCTTCAGTGCAGCAATAATGATCATACACTGGAGCACGTCATAGGGTGCGACGATCCAATCCAACAATATATAAAACATGAACATGGACTACAACATTTAGTACACCGGTAGATCTGATACTGAGCCTGTTACAGCTGGGCCGTCATTAGCTGACTTTCGGTCCCAACAGAGTCAGGACACATTGGGGCTTCATGCTAGAGTCTCTAGAATACACAGAATACACAAAGGACAGAGAGACTGTCCCAAAAGCTGACATGGACGTACGGAACAACACAACTGGTCTCATTTACATCAGCACCTATAATCAGCAAGACAGAAAATGCTGGAAGATGGTTGGACAACCAGATTTCTTAGCACCGAGAATGGAAGCTGAGCAGAAACATAGAAAGTCTACAAAAGCTTGCATCACCTTAAAAGAGTTGTGTTTAGCATACAGTTCTATAAAACAACTACCAGTATTTCTGCAAGAAAATTCTAAATGTCACTTCACAAACAAATTCTGGATTTCGGGACAACACTTGTAATGACCATATATGATTTAGCTTTGAAAGGCTTGACTGTGAGGCACATGGACACTTCCAGTGCTAGCCTTGAAACCAGGTAGTGGACACTGTATTCACATTGCGCTTGCTGGCAATGTGTTAACAACGTTGGAACAGTTACCCTTTAAAGAGCATGAAGAGCAATAACATAATACACACTACATCTACCACCTCGAAGATGGTCACTGCTATATCTGCTGGAAGTAGTTGATGTGGTTACGTTCGGAGGATGGTTTAGATTTTGACTTTGAAATCAGGTTTTGACTAGTGCTGAGTGGAACAGAGACACCTATAGGGACTGTCATCATGATGCTTTGTGCAGGCAGGAGTTGAGGACAGGCTCTGTCTTCCGTTGTTGAGGCAGAGCTGGAGTGGCAGTGGCAGCCATGTTCATGCTAGACCTGGAACAGATGAGTCATCAAGTTTACTGCAAACATCATTAACATATTCATTGAGCTCAATGCCTTGAGCTGGATTAAATGCTGACAACATGTTAAAGTAACACAATCACTGCTTCACACTAGCACTCGACATTGGCCAGGTTATACAGCCATTCAAAATGATTTGTATCAGGTTATTTAGGATAAACTGAAGATGCTCCACCTTTTGCTGTATGATGCTGTAATGTAAATAGGTGAGTAAGGTCAGGACAACCCGAAAATTGATACATCAGCAATTACCCAGGCCATCAGGATATGGCCAATCAATGGAATAACCAAGTTACTTAGCTAGTTATTAATTCAAAATATTCATTTACTATATAACATGGACCACAGCATCTGGCTCTTCCTAATTTTTGTATAATATCTGTGCACAATATTTGCTTCAACCACTAAGATCTGTAGCCAAAGAAGCTTTACTTCAAAGCCAGAGCTTCGACGATCATCTCAAAACCCACCTACTTATTACTGTATATTTCTGACTTAATGTTGTTCATAGGTAACCTGTATTGGATGGAATTATTTTCAAATCATCAAACAAAGACGGCCTGAGATGATGCTTGTGCATCTCTCATAGCAGCAGTATGTTCACCTACCTGTTGTGAGTGAGGTGGCTCTTTACTAGATGACCAGCGGCCAGCGCAGACAGAAGGGAGAGTTCTCCAGCAAGGACGGTGGCACATACAACTCGCGCCAGGGTACGAGCATTGTCACCAGGTCTGTTAGATGCTCCCTTTACCCCCAGCATCTGAAATGTTATCTCATAATGTATTCCATATTAAACTGTCTGCAATAAACATTTTTAATCAACTATGATATGAAGGTTCATCAATAAAAACAATGTGGAATTATCTAACGGTCAGAGCGAGTGAGTTTGGTTTTACATTGCTTTTAGCACTATTCCAGCAATATCATGGCGGGGGGACACCAGATTTGGACTTCACCCAAGTACCCATGTGGGGAATCGAACCTGGGTCTTCGGCATGACAAACGAACTCTTTAACCTCTAGGCTACCCCACCGCCCCTCTAACGGTCAGAGAACTTTTAAACACTGTAACAAAATTGCCACAAACTTGAAACTACAAATGGAGGGATTTGGATCAGAAATGTCTAGGAATATTCTGGGAATAATATAGTGATAATCATAATGATAGATATGTCAGACAGCATTTTTTTCAAGTCTTTGTAGGTCAAATCTAAAAGGTTATATCTTAAAACTAAGTTTTAGAAGTTAGCTAGCTTTGATATTACTTGCATAAGGTCAATACGGTTGGATGCTGTGGATCCTTGTTCTTTGTGACAATGCTACAAGTACTTGACTACTTCATTGATAGTTACAGAATGATTTTATGAAGCTTCAAAAGTCGTTTTAAATAAACCCTAATGTCCGTCCACTGCACATTACCACCCTACCATCAGATTCATCATAGCTACATCCCATGTTTAGTATGAACCCACCTGCAGACAGGCTGATTGCGGAGGAAGAACAGTGCCGCCCCCAACAGTTCCGATTTCTATTGACGGCATGGTACAGCTGATGTAGAGGTCCTCATGATGTGGGCCTGTTGCTTCAATCAATGTCATGCAGTTAGAGCTGGCCACATTCTGGGCGGGATCCTGTACAAATAAAATAAGGTCACATTTACGTTTTTCACTTTGCTCTTTGAGGATAGCACCCCACATATGATCCATACCGGCTTCAAAATAGGGGTGGGTGGTCCAGTGTGGATTACACTGCATCATGTTTTGTAGTAGCCATGGACATCTCTCATAGCAGCACAACAGCACACATTTACTATTGAAGGAATGGAATGGGGTTGTCTGAGTGACAGGTCAATAGTTTAACAAGGACATTCTCCTCACTTTAACTGATGAACCATGCCACACTTGTCTCCTTTTCTGGTCAGTCTAAGCAAACTTAGGCTCAGTATTATTTGTTATACTGATTATACTGATTTGATTGGATGGTCATAGATCGCTCAAAGGTTAGCTGACGCAACTTCTACTAGGGTTTGTTAGACTCAGTACGGCAGTGTAGCGAATAATACTTTAGCCTAAGTTAACTTAGACTGCGTTTCTGGTCAATCATAGAAAATACAATAAAATAATAAAGATACAGTGAAACCTGTCTAAACCGTCACCCCACAGGACCGAAATAAAGACAGGGTGCCAGGGTGCCGGATTAGACAGTTACGATCATTTTCCAACATGGCTGCCATTTACACTCGTCAATCTCTTTATCTCTATAATGTCTTCGATCTTTTGTAATTGTGCAACAATGCATTGGATTATGGGACCTTGATTGGACTGCTCATACCCTGACGGCTTAGAGCGTTTGATTCACCGTGCAATCACTACTGCCTGATTATCTAGCGTGCCAAGATGATTAATTAGTGTATTGGATTATGGGTCCTTAACTTGTTTGAGTGGCATTTAGAAGTTGGTGTGATGAACAACGAGGAGAGTTCTATGGATAAACAACTTCTTTAATATAATATGAGCGACATTTCGGTGTAGCTACTAACACCGTTATCAAGCAAATGATGATAACGGTGTTAGTAGCTACACCGAAACGTCGCTCATATTATATTAAAGAAGTTGTATATCCATGTATATGGGTCCCTGCCTGGACTGCTCATACCCCTGCCGGTTTAGACAGTGCTAATTACAGTTAAAATTGCTTGTTGGGATCGGAAAGTCGTGCTGGAATACGGAATAGACAGGTGCCAGATTAGACAATGTTTTCATGATCATAATATCGCTGTAAAATGGATGGACCAAACTTTTATGCCAGTTTTGACAATGTGCTGGTGTTGGCAGGTTTCACTGTATATATATAAAACATCATCTGTAAGCGGTCTGGTATGTAAGGAGCTCAACTCAATGACTAATTACCTGTCCAGTGGCAATGAAGATGGCAGTGACGATGTTGGCAGAGTGAGCGTTGAAGCCCCCGATGCTTCCAGCCATAGCAGACCCAATCAGGTTCTTGGTGATGTTGAGGTCAACTAGGGCTGGGACTGATGTCTTGAGTAGCTTCTTGACAACCTGGCCAGGGACAACCACCTCGCATACAACCGACTTTCCACGCCCTTCAATCCTGGAAACACAAAAATGATGTGTAGAATACGAAGTAACTCAATGAAGATACTTTGATGCAAGTTTCAAGAAAGTCACTCAGTCAGGTCTACAGATGCTGTGAGCATTATTACAGTGATATCAGTATATGTCATATTAAATGAGCAGGTCTTGTGGTGTTCACAAGTAGGGGCCTAGTGCTGACAAATCATTCTCATAATGTGGGTAAATCTGGGAAATGAATCCACAACCATAGGACTTTGTACAGAGTATGGCATCATCTCCAATAGCTGGTTCACCTGCATTTTCCCAAGAATAAAGACGTTGGCACATTCCATACCATTACGACACAGAAAGGCTTTGTCAGGCAAACCATTTTCAGTTTTGAAAGAATTCTTTAAAAAGAAGAAACAATTGAATTTTGTAATGTTTTATGGGTGAGTGAGTTTAGTTTTATACCGCTTTAAAGCAATATTCCAGCAATATCAAGGTGGGGGACACCAGAAATGGGCTTCACACATTGTATCCATGTGGGTAATGTCTTGTGGAAAGATTTTGTCATACTTTGCAAAAGGTTTTGGTCATTATTTCAAACTTCTGATCCTACAAATGGAGTGTAGCAATTTGACAGTTGAAACAACATACCTGAACTTCATACCAACTGACAAAGAAGACATGCTTGTATTCTTAGCGAGCTACGTGAGGTTAGATAGTGGTCATTTATTCATAAGTTTCAATGAAACGTTGAGTCCTGTCCGATTATACTTGTAGGTTCACTGCTTGTATAAATTAAGGAAGAAATAGTATTAATAGCAAATATGTAACAAATACTAGAAATACACTAGACAACAATGTCTATTTCTATTTGACTCACCAATTGATAGCTGATGGTTTCTTGTCTGTGCAGTAGAAAATGTAATTTTTGAGTAAAATTGATATTTTATACTTATCCTGACTCATGCTCTTTGCTTGTCTCCTTCCTCTTGCAACATAGTGGAACACTTGTATCTCCCTAATTGAAGTTCCTTCAATGTAAAAATCACCAATTAGTACACCACGAAGTTACCTCCCTTCCACAAGCTGGAACGAGGGCCACCTCTACCCATGTGCCTCACTCTCCTCTCATATACTGAGCCCAACATTTGAATTTACAGGGAAATCCAAAGTGTTATTTGGGAGGATGGGAGGGTTGATTCATGAGTCAGGATAAGTATAAAATATCAATTTTACTCAAAAAATTACATATTTTTCCTTATCCTGACTCATGCTCTTTGCTTGTAGAATCCAACAGAGCGGAGGTGGGAATATATAATACTTTGGATTTTAATAATTAGTGATTTGAATCAGATGATTGTAATAACCCCATGAGAACTTCATAAAGGCATTGAACTGATGAATTCCTGCTGCCAGCTTATCAGCTGCCATATAGAGGTTATTACAATGTACTTATTATGATAAGTATATATAATATTAATACAATGCTTAAGACTAATAGACTTAAGCTTGTTAATATGCTAGTATAAACTCCTTAGAGTTTGTTAGCTAAAATACTTTAAGATATAAACATAGCACTAAGCTTAAAATATGATTAATTTTAAGCTAATTATATAATAACAAACCCTTTAGGGTTTGTTAGTTAAAATATTTATATGATATAGACAGTGCTGAGCTTAAGATATGAATAAGCTTAGCTATATATATAACAGCAAACTTTGTAGAGTTTGTTAGCTAATACATTTTTACAATATGAGATAGTATTGTGCTTAAGATATAATTATCTTAAGCTACATATATAATAGCCAAACTTAGTAGAGTTTGTTAGCTAATATATTTTTACAATATGAGTATAATACTGTGCTTAAGATATAATTAACTTAAGCTACATATATAATAGCCAAACTTAGTATAGTTTGTTAGCTAATATATTTTACAATATGAGTATAGTACTGTGCTTAAGATATAATTAACTTAAGCTACATATATAATAGCCAAACTTAGTAAAGTTTGTTAGCTAATATATTTTTACAATATGAGTATAGTACTGTGCTTAAGATATAATTAACTTAAGCTACATATATAATAGCCAAACTTAGTAAAGTTTGTTAGCTAATATATTTTACAATATGAGTATAGTACTGTGCTTAAGATATAATTAACTTAAGCTACATATACAATAGCCAAAACTCTGTAGAGCTTATTAGCTAATAGATTTATAATGTAACCATAGTACTAAGCTTAAGATATGATTAGATTCTTAAGCTAAATGTATATAGCAAAAAACTCCTTAGAGTTTATTAACTAATATACTTTTATGTTATAAACATAGTACTGAGCTTAAGATATGATTAAACTTAAGCTATATATATATAATAGTAAAACTCCTGTGAGAGTTTGATAGCTAATACATTTTATTATGTTGATTTAGACCTAGTATTGAGCTTAAGATATGAAGTAAACCTTAAGCTAAATATATAATAGCAAAAACCTTTTAGAGTTTTAATAGCTAATATACTTATATGGTATCAACATAGTATTGAGCTTAAGATATGAAGAAACCTTAAGCTACATATGTATAGCAAAACTCCTCAGTGAGTTTGTTAGCTAATACATGATATAATGTAACCATAAAGCTTAAAATATGATGAAAACTTAAGCCCAATATATAATAGCAAAAACTCTTTTAGAGTTTTGATAGCTAATATACCTATATGCTATAAACATAGTACTGCTTTAAGATATGAATAAGCTTAAGTTACATATATAATAGCAAAAAAACTCCATAGAGTTTGTTAGCTAATACATGTTATAATGTAACCATATTGCTTAAGATATGATGAAACTTAAGCCAAATAGCAAAAGCTCTTTAGAGTTTGTTAGCTAATATAGTTATATGATATAAACATAGTACTGAGCTTAAGATATGAATGAGCTTAAGCTACCTATATAATAGCAAAACTCCGTAGAGTTTGTTAGCTAATGTATTTTACAATATGAGTATAGTACTATGCTTAAAATATACTTGACTTAAGCTAATGTGATATAATAGCCAAAAAACTCTGTAGAGTTTGTTAGCTAATGCATTTATCATGTAACCACTGTGATGATAAAAACGAGCTTAAGCAAATTATATATAGCATGAAGCTATTTAGTACTGTTATAAGATAAGTAAAAATCTGTAAGATTGACTTATCTTCTCCGAGGAACTGTCAACTGTTGTGCAAGGACCATGGGATCGAATTGGTGGATACCTGAGATGTCCTCGTGGTGATATCTCTCAGATAATGGTTGGCAACCACCATATCGATCTACAGTAATAAACCCTCCATTATTTCAAATAACATTTGTGTAGATGAAATTGTAGAAGTTAGGGCTCTAATATCAAGAGTATTAAAGCTCATGGAGGGTCGGATTAGGTCCATCTGTCTTGTATGCACGAGTATGACAGTTCTGATCCAAACGGAGATATAGTACGCGAGACTACACTCTGGAAGTTGATGATAGAGGAAAAAATCTGTTGTATATTTTCTTCCTGTTTGGTTTGGTGGAGATAAATTTACAGTGCTCTTGCTGGCCAGCGTGATAGCATCATCGTATCATGGAGTCCAAGTATGTCATCCAGGCATGTTCATAAACCTCACTTGTGAGGTGTTGTAGCACTATATTCATATCCCCAAGTTGGTAATGCGAAACTTCCGCTTATTCTCCAAACAGAAACTTAGTAGGTTTACTAACCATCTAGTTGTGTTAGTAGCTTGATGATGAAATTCAGGTGTAGTCTGAAACGCTGTGGATTTCGATCCACTTGTATCACGCCAGTTCTAGGTAAATCGCTATGATGTCCTTGACGATGTATGCACAACCGGAGTTTGTGTCCTCGATGAACTTTATGTAAAATCGCCTGACTGCTGTGCCCTTGTCTAAACTTGACAGGGAGGTCTCTAACCTGAAGAAAGCAGCCTAATCATGAAGGTTCAGGTTAACTGGGCTGTAAGGAGGCTTGCTCGCTCATTGATATAAAGTTGTCACTTGCAACCTATGTCTTGAACTGTGAACTATGCTCGACCTCTGTGTAGGGCGTTGTTCATCGGGGTCCAATCAGAATAAGGCATTTTGATTCTGTAGAGTACCCGCCAGCTGTGATGTCACCGTGTAGCAGGAAAAGGAACCTTGTATAATATAGTGCCGCCGCTGATATTAGAACAATCATCGGTCTTCATCGTAACTCCCGGTTACCCGAAAGTGACCACGTGTTTCGAGGATTAATGGTAAACGCCAAAAGCTTCGCTAAAATACCTTGCTCTGTAATATTAATGCTGGGTAGGTTATTTTCCTGGCTGTCGTGAAAGTACTTCAGTTTTGAATATAATTCCGACTTCTTTATATATAAAGGTACAATAACTTGTAAGTTGTCAGCTTGTAGACTGTATACATGAATGTATCGCCATAATTGTAGAATTAAAGCTGAATTTGTTGTACATATTTCTTCTCAGAAATGTTGACGATTATGAGTTATACTTCGCTGTAACAAGGCTGCTGTTCAATTTCGATATTGAATTGTCTGCAGATATGCGTAATGGTCACGCATGTAGATAATCGTATCGTCGTCCGGGATTGCATATACTAGCAATTTATACGAATAGTTGATTTCTGTGAAGATCTATGAAACGTCGTTGACAAATTAATACAGCGACGCTCTGTGTTGTAAATAGCCTGTGCAATTGTCTTCGCAGAGGCTTATAGATCGCATCTGGCATACAGTTGATAGACAACTTATGCGTGTCTTGAACGGACTGAGGAGTAGCTATATATGACGAAAGTGGCTAGTATATGGAGACCTTGGAGGAGACTTCGTGAACGCCGGAGACTTCACGGGCTTCCTCGGCATCCCTCTAGATCTACTGGTGAAGTAGACTTGAGCCACTTAGCCTTCTCGCGACCTTCGCTGGCTGTATCGAAGTCAAAGTCCGATTAGAATATATATGTATATATATATAAGAGCTTTGCTTCGCGAATGGCCTCTGTGTTTAACAGGATGTGGGTCGGCGGCGCTACTCCTCCGCGACGCCCCTTGTAGCTGGTGAGGCTCTAGCTCTTCGCTGAGGCTGCCTGGGACTTGCTGGTTCTGCATAAGTAGGGGCGAGTGGATCATCTTATCATTTTCAGAAGTCGTGTTACTTAAATCTGGTGATAAGTGTCTCAATGATCGCTTCTAGATCTATTTAGGCCAACGAACATACGCCTCGGCCATGGATTCAACTGAACCAATTTCACGATTGTAGTTCTTATTGTTGATATCGATGATCAACTTGTAGTTTTCATCGATGTCTTAAGCCTTGAAGAAGGGGTCCATGTTGTAGCGTGGAAAACTTCTAGGCGTGAAAGTTCGCAATTATGGTGTCTGAACTTTTGTGGCTTTATGGGATGCTATGTCTAGATTCTGTGCTACCGCAGCAATCGGGTCGATCGGAGGTAGGGTGATAGCATCTGCGCCGCCTTCCCTTCATCAGGTATGTCTGCGCGCCGCTGCCACTTTCTAGGAAGGTGATGTAGACTTGTGTGCAGACTTGTGTGGTAACCTGTGAGGCGCATCGATGTGGTGATGTACGAGGAGATCGGAGACTATTGACAGCTTCACGGCTCTTGAGTAGTCCCTTGACTCTGTTAAAATGATCGATCTATATTCGGGTGTCCTTCCCGAGTGCCTTTCGCTAATGCCTTCGCGAACGCCTTCACGGTAACGCCTTTGTTCCTAAGTTGGAGCCTTCGGCTCGTGACTCTGGGCTGGCTGCTTCTCCAGTCTGTAGTGACCCTCCATCACGACCATGATTTGGTCGTAGTAGCTCGCCTGGGATGGTCTGCCACGGCAGTAGTCGGTGCCATCTCTGCGCTGTTAGTGGTGGGGCCCCCTCAGGTAAGTCGCCTGACATCAGTGTAGAGACATCAGGCTGCATGCATGACCATCTCTGCTGATGTCATTGTAGCTGTCACCGGGTCGCCACTTGTCTCATATCGCCGAGGATGATGATCGGCTGATCATCGAGAGGCCAAGTTCAGCGGCTGGAACAATCTCGCTGAGAAAGTCCTGTGTAGACTTCGCTGAATTCCCCTCAGAGGTCGACGCCAGTTCTGGGGGTGCCGGGTCTCGCGTTGAGTGTTGGTAGCGACGGGACCCTCAGGAAGATCATCGAATGTTGATCTGCGCTGACATCACTGTTGTCGACATCAGTCATTCTTTGATGTACATCAGGAATGATGATCGGCTGATCATCATACAGGCCCAAATCTGCGATGAGAACAATCTCGGCTGAGAAAGTTCTAGTAGACTTCGCTTGAATACCCCTCAGTGCGAATGGCGGGATGTCTGGGGAAGCAGGACGCTTCTTGAGGCGGCGGACTACGCCCCCACTTCCACCATTCTAGCGAAACCCAGACGGAGGGGGGTCACCAACAGCAGTAGACTGGCGAGGGGTTCAGGTGTATCAGTCATGCTAGACTCTCCGCATAATGCGGACCTCCATTCGCTGCGCTGCCTCAAACGCCAAAGTAATTATTTATTAAAGGTAGAATTGATAAATTAGTATCGCGAACTGCAACGCGAATCACATGAAACATGGCGCAGTACAGCTAGGGCATATTAAATGCGATCAGCAGCAGAATAAAACGAATGTGCAACAGTACAGAATTTTATCAACGAATCCACTGCAACAGCACGGCCCCAAGTGCATAAACAGTAGAAACACTAAATATCAATATATAATTGTTGAAAGATACTAGCTAAACCTCTATAGATCTCTATACGAGGTAACTAACTAAATATAATCAAAGGATATAGTGTCGGAGACACAGCGCTTCCCACGCCCAGCTCAATGGGCTTAAGAAGGAGAGAGTGAGGCACATGGGTAGAGGTGGCGCTCTCGTTCCCGCGCTTGTGGAAGGGAGGTAACTCGTGGTGTACTAATTAGTGATTTTACATTGAAGGGAACTTCAATTAGGGAGATACAAGTGTTCCACTATGTTCTCAAGAGGAAGGAGACAAGCAAAAGAGCATGAGTCAGGATAAGGAAAAATTTGTCAAATTACTACAGTAACAATCAAACAAAAAAATGTATAAAATTTAATGTCAAGAAAATGCGTCTTCACATTGCCGTCCTCAACCTACCTTAGACAGCATGTTCATGCCCATAGCGTCCCCAGTCTTGGCCACAAACCTCACATACAACAGGCGTCCGGCCTGGGCAATTTGGAGTCTCTGTAGGCGAGCAAACCTAGAACATAACAGTCACAATAAACAAATAACTATACATGTATAAACTTTCGATTGTGTGTATGTTTGTTGTTAAGCACAACAGTTAAGGGTCACATGCAACGCAAAACGAAACTTTGCAGATTCTGATACCTTTGGTATGGACTTACAGTAACAAATTATCAAAAATGCAAATTCGACTTATAAAGTTTAAAAATAACGCGATGACACTCCCCAGCCAGCTGGGGTGAAGAGTGGGTTTCAACAGTTGTGCTGCACTGCACCCATAGCATGCATGCTTAGTGAGCAGTGATTAGGTTCGCCGCGGCTTTTGAACCGGAAGGCTTCAATTCGTGAAAACACAACAAGTGATGCATGCAAGAATTCTCGCTGTGAAGATGTTTCTTGTGATTACAAGCATCTTGGGTCTGCAGTAACAAAAAATACACTGGTCCCATACTTGGTAGCATTAGAAATACTAATTTCATTGTTAAAAATTGCTCAGCTTGAAAACTGAAATGTGATAAGCAGTTTCTGTCACAGAAAAAACTCAATGTCTGTTTTATTGACACCTGTGTGTCTGCTTGCACAACTTCAATCATTGACCACATGCAATTTGAACTTAACACCTATCAGGCTATACACCATAAACAAAATACATTGATTTATGGCTCGTGCCCCTGAGTTCTGTCTCTGTCATATTATGTAATTACACAGACAGGCAGGTGTGATACTTGTACACATGACAAGTTATTATGTCTGTGGGTTGCAAACAAACTGCATCCATTTTTCTCGGATGACTGGATTGGACGGAAACTGGTGGAAACTCAGATTGTCAGTTTTAAGTCCTGCTTTGTACTTGGACGAACGACAGTTTCAAGCCACACAGTAGTTCACCATCTCAGTATTTGTTGATTGGCTCAGTATTTGTTGATTGGATCGAACACAAATGCAGAGAGCATGTACTTACAAAACCCAACATCTCTATACACAATCGCATCATATACATATTTGTTTTTTGGGGTTGCATGTGATCTTTAACAAGCATTGTCACTAAGGTGACATAATCCCCCGCTGCAAATTATCAAATCAAACTTCAAAAGTAATGAAAGTTTAAGATGAAGTTAAATGTCAACAAAAACATGACCAGTCAACCTCTCTTGACATCTTCTCTTTAGTTGTTCAAACACACATATATTTTCAAGACTGACTTTGACCGTGACATGAATGTCATAGTGAATGAAATATGCAAAAATGGTACTAAAGAAATTGCTTATTGAAAAACATTCAAGGGAAGTCTTGAAAGTCTATGAAGAAAATCCAGTGAATTCAGGTTAACATGCTGAAATCTTCAAAGTGTTGCAATGACCTTGAAAATTATGTGAATGTCACCAAAATTGACCGGGCCCTGCGCCTTCATTAGTGAGTGAGTGAGTTTAGTTTTACGCCGCACTCAGCAATATTACAGCTATATGGCGGCGGTCTGTAAATAATCGATGTCTGGACCAGACAATCCAGTTATCAACAGCATGAGCATCGATCTACGCAATTGGGAACCGATGACATGTGTCAACCAAGTCAGTGAGCCTGACCACCCGATCCCGTTATTCGTCTCTTACGACAAGCATAGTCGCCTTTTGTGGCAAGCATGGTTTGCTGAAGACCTATTCTACCCAGGATCTTCACAGGTTGCGCTTTTATTAGATGAAGCTTGGTGTCAAATATGAAAAAAATCCAGTGAACGTTTTTTGCGATATCTTGCTGACTATCTTAAAATGCAATTTCACATGCTGAAATCTTCAAAGTGTCGCTGTGACCTTGAAAAATAAGTGAAGGTCACCCAAATCGACTGGGCCTTGCTCTTTCCCTAGATGAAGCTTGGTGTCAAATATGAAGAAAGTCCAGTTAATGGTTCTTGAGATATCTCGCTGACCATCTTAACATGCAGGTTAACATACTGAAATCTTCAAAGTGTCGCTGTGACCTTGAAAATTAAGTGACGGTCACCAAAATCAAGTGGGCCCTGCGCCTTCCCTAGATGAAGCTTGGTGTTGAATGTGAAGAAAATCCAGTGAACGGTTCTTAAGATAGCTTAACATGCAGGTTAACATGCTGAAATCTTCAAAGTGTCGCCATGACCTTGAAAATTACATGAAGGTCACCAAAATCGACTGGCACCTTCCCAAGGTAAAGCTTGGTGTTGAATATGAAGACAATCTAGTGAGCGGTTCTCTAGATATCTCGCTGACAAGAGTAAAACGTTAAAGTCCCCTTGTGACCTTGAAATGAAGGTCAAGGTCACCAAACCTGACTGGGACCTTTCTTATGCTGTGATGAACCTAGGTACCAAATATGAAAAGAATCTAGTCAACGGTTCTTAAGATATTTTTATTCGTATGTACGTACGGAGCCTAATACTATATCCCCAACTTCGCGCTACACACTCGGCAGGGGACAGGGCTCCAGATAAGGGCTGTATCGGCGTATGTACGGATAAAATATATGCACGATACGGTAGGAAATATTTTAGAAAACGTAGCAGATACGCACAACAGCAATGGTGTATGATGTTAGAATCATTTACAGACATTTATCTGAAAAAGTTGTTTTGTCTGAAAGAAGTTGTTATCCATAAAAAATTGTTCTATATTGTTCGATATTGAAAAAGTTTTGCTTTATTGTTTTTCTAATTGTTTACACAAGAGTAGCAATGTTGTGGTACATATATGAAATGAAACATAAGATTACTGGTACTCCATTAAATTCCATTCAGTACTCTAAATGTACTCTTTAAGTTTTCCCAGTACTCCTATTTTGAAAAAATAAGGAGTACGTACTTCTGATGTTGAAAAATTATCTGGAGCCCTGGGGGGATAACAAGCATATCCTCCGCCGCAAATTATTAAATCAAACTTAAAAAGTATTGAAAGTGAAGGTTGCAGTTTAAGATGAAGTTAAATGTCAACAAACCCATGACCAGACAACCTGCACCTTCCTAGATGAAGCTTGGTGTCAAATATGAAGAAAATCCAGTGAATGGTTCTTGAGATGTCTCACTGACAAGGTGTAACAAAATATTCAATGTGTGTGTGTGTGTGTGTGTGTGAGATATGATAATTTTTATGGAGAAGCATGTACAATGTGAATGACCCTCCACCCCCTGAATTTATGTACAAAGTAAGTGACCCCACCCTGCATGTCATGTACAAAATCAATGCCCCCCTCCCTTCCCATAATTTTTAAATGTTTTTATGTACAAATTTGGTAACGCCTACTGTTAATAGTGTTATCCACGTATACCGGGATTTATCCACGAGGAGAGAAATGACAGAATGAATGTTGTTTAACGTATCAACCAGCAATATTCCAGCAAAATATGGTGGCTTATCAGACCTAAAACAGGTGCCATCAGTTAAGTCTAAGCAGCATACAGTCTGGGGGTAATGGGTGCATATTCCAAATATCGACAAGGAGAATTTCTTACCTGCTTGTGAGATCAAATGCTTCCTTGATCAGCTCAAAATTCTCCTTGTCCTCCATCCAAAGTTTCACCTCACTGTGGAAATAAATATTTAGCAATACAGATACAAAACCATAAGACGCCACTAGCAACATGCAGTAGACCGACGGAGAGATATTCTAACCCATGTCTCCATAGGGCTGACTTACTACTGACCTTGCTCTCTTGGCCGTAGGGAACCGAACGACTGGTGCGCGGGTCATGCCTTCATTGATGACCATGCTGTGGGCTCCTCCACTTTGCTGTAAACAATCAACAAATAAAAGCTTTAAGTCTTCGCCGTGATAACTGTTCCGTAGCTGCAGGGACGGTTGTAAGGTGTTTTTTTGTTATTGCCAGTGTCAGTATTAAATGGTTGAATCACTGGTAAAATGTTGAGTGTGGTCAGTTGCCATGTACATCTGAATGTATGCCATTCATCAGTGACGAAAGTTTTGAGTACACCCACATATTATAGAGCTTATCACTTACTGCTGCTGCCATGTACTGGTACTGTTTCCCTCATCCAACAGATCTTCCATTGATCTTGTTTCGTCACTTGCTGACTTCACAATCTATTTCTTTAAGTATTAATATCAAGTTTTGGTTTGGCTGTTGTTTAACGCCGGACTCAGCACTTTTCCAGCTACATGGCAGCAGTCTGAGACTGGACCAGACAATAAAGCGATCAACAGAATGAGCATCGATCTACACAATAGCGATAGGCTGACATGTGTCAACCAAATCAGTTGGCCTGACCACCCGATCCGCTTTAGTTGCCACTTACGTCAAGCATGGGTTGCTGAAGACCAATTTTAATCTGGATCTTCACGGGGGACTGATATCAAGATTAACTGTACATACACACTACTTCTGCCTCAGTGAAAACATTTATGAATTTTGACATATTTGGAGAACTCCTTTCTCACAAGAGTTACTCACTTCAATTGCTCGACAGCCTCTGTTGGTGCTGGCAACCAAACATCCTTCCGTTGTTGCCATGGGAACCTGGTACTTGACGCCATCAAGGAGCAGGGGACCTGCGACACCCACTGGTAAAGGCATGTAGCCAATCACATTCTCACAGCAGGCCCCGTCAACCTGGCAAACAGGTAACACATATAGTGGATGTCCTTGATAATAAGAAAATAAAAACTTTACTCAATATCAGGAATCTCAAAGCCAATAATATATTCAAGAAAAAAAACAAATATTACAGAGAAGTCAAATGAAGATGCCATTTAAACAGTAGTGCAGTTATATCATGGTGTATCAGCTTTATGTGAGAGGGGAGCATGAAGTGATGGAGGACTCAGATGTTTAACACTTCGGTGAAACCAGGGGTGTGGAAACATAACAGGTGCAAACACACAATCTGAACCCACAATCATATTCTCTCAAGGCACACAATTCTGCACAGGGAATTGTGGTGCCTTAACCAACTGGACCACCCATGCCCCTTTGAATGTAAATTCTACTTTAATATATATTTTCTCACATGATTAGCTAGGTAAAGAATTTTTAAAACTTGTCAACAACCAAAGCATATTCTTACATATTTGTAATCATAGTGTTCATATGGCAACGTCTCCAAAGCATCAGTGGCAGCAAGTTTTTCAGAAACCATCCGTCGTCTGGAATATCAAAGAAAGGTACATAAAATAAACCACAGAATACACTGTCACTGTTAAAGTACCCAAAGAATGAACATTATCAAAACTGTGGTGAAACGTCAAGTTTAAGACTACCACACTCACACAGTGACGTGAACATGTGTCTGTGTATTCTACCATTCAAAATCCAATCAGTCAGTGCAACTTCCTAGCTAACTATATACCATTTGTATGTATAGCACTATTCCAGCTATCTGACTGCAGTCTGTAAATATTCAAAACCAGGTAATCCAGTGATCAACATAGTGAACACCAATCCATACCATCTGATACACTAACACATTGAACCAAGCCTCTGAGTCTGATTTCCAAAGAACCTATATATTTTATTGATAGTCGTCAAACTGCATTTAGTGTTCAGCTGATGGTTTGTTTACCTGATGGCGACACCTCTGACGTAGTCCTGTAAAATACTCTCCAGCTTGTAGGCCGGGATGTGCTTCCTCTCCACCAGTAGCTGGATCTCTGCATCAGTCAGCACCCCAGGGCCATCCTGCAAAACAGCCGTTATTAGTACCAGCGGCATCTGACACTGCTTATCCTGAGACAGACTTAGAAATTCAGGGATGGTGGGGAAGCCTAGTGGTTAAAGCATTTGCTTGTCAAGTCAAAAACTAAGACATGTCATCGGTTCCCAGTTACTCAGATCGATGCTCATGCTGTTGATCACTGGATTGTCTGGTCCAGACTCGACTATTTACAGACCGCCGCCATATAGCTGGAATATTGCTGAGTGCGGTGTAAAACTCAACTCACTCACTCAAAAACTAAGATTCAATTCTCTACATGAGTAAAACCATGCTCATTCGTTTTCAGTGTTTTAGAAACTTGTTCTGAGGACTTGCAAAAACCCTATTTAAAAAGTCGTCTGCATTAGTAGTTAGTCCTGCTTGAGTGAGAGTGAGTGAATGAATGATTGAATTGGGCTTTACACTGCTGTTAGCAATATTCCAGCAATATTACGGTGGGGGGAGGGGAGAGAGAGAGAGGAAGAGACACCAGAAATGGGCTTCACATATTGAACTCGGGATTTCGGCATGCTCTAACTATATCTTGGAACCACCATAGAGTTGTCAGAAATACTTACATCTGACTTCATGATGGCTAAACAGTCTTCCAGACAGCGAGGTTGCTTGGGTTTCATCAGTAGCTGGAGCGGCTTGAATGCTTCATCATCCACCTCTGTCTGAGTTGACTTGTCTTCCTTCTCGTCATCAGAGCTGTCATCATATTCACCGATGATGAAGGATGCACCTGGTTTGAATGGAGTACTGACTTGTCCATCAGACTTAACTTCAACGGCTGGAACCAACAAAAACCAATGTGATGATCATGGTATACTCTGTTAGAACATCTTTCAAATCTTGAACATGGGTACCAAAGACACGATTTGCCTCAATCCATCAAGCATGTCTGAAGACATGTCACTTGTCAGCATGTACTGAATGATGGATAATAAACTCAGACAACTAAGAAAACAAAACATAAAATCAGCTACATTTTGAGAATCCATGAACAGTATCAAAACATGTAAAATCTCAAACATAAGTCCAAATCATTTCCATGAAAATCATGAAAAACATAAATGCCAAATATCTACAAATAGCAAAAGGCATCACTTTAGGGTCTCGTTGATATATCTACCAAATTTGGTTGAGTGATATTGAACGGTTATCGAAGTTGTGCTCCTTAAAAACGAAGGTGACCCCTCCCTTTTGAAATTAAGTTCAAATTGTTTCCATGGAAACCAAGAAAAATAAAATGTCAAAAGTCTGTAAATAGCAAAAGGCATCACTTGAGGTTTTGTTTGATATATCTACCAATTTTTGTTTTCAGTCATGCTCTGGAAACAAAATGATTACAGACAAATGGACGAGGCGTTGACAAGGTCAACTCACCCTCTGTCTGTGAGTCACTGGTGGTATTAGTTCCAATTTCTGCAACTGTCTTGTCAGTGGAGGCTGTCTTTAGCATGTCTTCCACTTCGCGGTCAACTTCAGTGTCCATGAATATATATTTGCATGTAAGGACGATTGCCAAAACGAGGGTCATTGCATAATCAGCTCTTCCCAGAAACATTCTGAAACAGGTGTAAAGTTTCTCAACATAATGCAAGCTGTCACTCAGAACTGTACTAAACAATTTTAAAAATATCGTCACAACTTGTTCATCTGAAATGGACCTGGTTCCTGAAGTGATTGCTATTCTGAACTTGGATGATATAGTTAATAACTAATAAATAATAAAAAAAGACCATATTCATATGGAACTTCATATCATATTGAATTTGTATCATACAATGCCAAAGTGATTTGATTGCTACAATGTATGCAACAAGTACAATATAGAAATGATACAGCCCATATCATAATACCTGATGTCAGTGTTGTCATTATGGCCAAATGATCCCAGTCATCCAATGTAAGATTATTAAATGCACTTTAATGTTCCACTCAAGGTTATTTCACTTATTTAGTTATTTAGCTGCGTGCGTGTTGTGTGTGGCAGATTTATTAAATTAGAGTGAGTGAGTGAGTTTAGTTTTACCCCACATTTAGCAATATGCCAGCAATATCACAGCTGAGAACACCAAAAATGGGCTTCACACATTGTGCCCATGTGGGTAACTGAACCTGGGTCTTCCGCCGATGACGAACAAACACTCTAACCACTAAGCTACCCCACAGCCTCAGAGACAACATAATGGGGATTATTCATACAATGTCTCAGTTCCTCAGCAGTTTGTAAGAAGAGTTTTAGATTCAACGTAACTGAATGAGCTGATAAAGTGTAGGACCACTTTAAACACATCTAATGTATAAAAGTCTTCAAAATTATACAGTTTTCAAATTGCATATCACTACAACATAACCATTGGGGATTTAAGACAATATATTTCAATGTGCATAATTATACACAGCCTGAAGGAGAGTGAGAGAGAGGACACATCTTAGGAGGATGGGGAGGTGGCATAGGGTTAATGTACAGGGTGTAAGGGGGAAGAAGGAACCCGGCGTTGTCTGTAGAGGTAGACTTGAAACATTCAAAGCCACAGTCAAATGTCATCACTACACAACCTGACCTACTCACCTCTGAACATAGAACTGCCACAGAGGTACATCAGGGTTGATTCTCTGGTCCATCAAAGCCTGCTCTGCTGGGGTCATGACTGAGGTCATCTGAGTGGCAGCGTTGTCTGCTCCAGCCACCCATCGACTGTGGGCATGTACAAGTACCAACCCAGCAGACTTGGTTAAATAATAGAAGAAATAGTCTTAAATTGTGACAAATGAACACTCAACAGCACCATTATTACAACTTTAACCCACTTAAATCAAATAAAAGATTTCAAAAGATAAAGCACAAGGCCAACTGTTCTGGAGTCCTACAGATATGAGAGTGCTAGCCTCCTCACCATGATGATCTTGACTCTCTGGGTAACAGGGTTGGGCTTGGTCTCTTCTTCCTCCTGCTGCAGGATCTGAGCCAGCTGCCGCAGCTGCCACATGGGGCGGCCATGATTACGTACCCTCGTCAGCTACAACACAAGGTGGCAGTCACACACACAACATTTCTCACACTGATCAAATATTCTTAAATGTGTTTTTATTGGCTTGCTTATTTGTTGTTTAATGCTGCACTCAGCAATATTCCAGCTGAATGACTGCTGATGCTGGTTGCTCAAGATCAATTCAAACACAAATCTTCATGATCTCAATAATGTTTCTCTCATAAATTAGCTGACAAGATTTATAATTTAATGGAAGTTCAACATGAAAGTGAATAGGTCCTTGCCAGATTTAGCTGTCCCCAGATTCTAATACCACAGAAGAGAATCTCCTACAAATTTTAAACACTGATCAGGATTCTTGCTTCCTAAAATGATTTTAAAATCTGTTAGCTCAAATTAATGCCTCACAAAAAACAACCAAAACAAGTGATATCGCGTAAACAAGAGTTTGAAAAGTGGTCAGAGTCATGGTGACCTTGAAGATAAGGTCAAAGTCACTCAAATCAAATGATGTCTGTGTTATCCCCAAATGTAGGCTGTCACCAAATTTGAAGACATTGGGCACAATAATTCATGAGATATCGCTTGAACAAGAGTTTGATAAGTGGTCAAAGTGTCGTGGTGACCTTGAAATTATGGTCAAGGTCACCCAAAACTGACTGGTGTCTGCGTAATTCCCCAATGTAGGCTATCACCAAATTTTAAGACATTGGGTACAATGGTTCATGAGATACCGCTTTAACAAGAATTGGGACGTATGTACATACGGACACAGCTGAATACATATTCCCCTGTTCCGCTTTGCGGCAGGGGTCAATAACTGAACCACAGAAATAAAAGAAATGTTAAAAGAAACTGTACATACAGAATTTCTTGAAGAATCAAGTAGGTTGACAGAAACATGTCAGATCTATGATAGTCATACTACCATCCTCAAGTAAAGGAGATAGCTCTGTACCTCTAGAAGTCCAAGTCTTACCTCCAGGACCAGTGCCAGACAGGCTGGGTAGAAGGTCATGAAGGCAAGGTAGTTAGCCATGACAGACAGACAGCCAAAACAGCACATGGTTTCCAGCTGACGAACACCTGGAACAACATGAGTTACTGAAAGTGCTGGGGATAAAACATATTTTCTGAAAGAGACAACTGCCCTTCCAGTGTTGGAAAAAGTACGTGGAAAATAAATATGTGGTAAGAAAAGTTTATTGTTGGTATTTTATGTCTGTTGCAGTTATATTGCTACAACAGCTGTGACACTTAACCATTGCATATCCAAATTAAACAAAAAGACAAAACAAGAGTCATCAGAAGATGACATATCCACCCGGCCCCCACATATTTGAAAGAACAAATCATCTGACAATTAGTTTCCAATCATTTAAATGGAAATCATGAGATATATAAATGCCAAAAATCTGTAAATAGCAAAGGGCACAATTTCAACATTTGCCTAATATATCTGCCAAATTCTGTTGAAAGATAATGAACGCTTTTCGAGTTGTGCACTAGAAATGAAGCCCACCTCTCCCTTTTGTGACTAAGTTCGAATCGTTTCCATCGAAACCGAGAAAATAATAAATCACAAAAACCTGCAAATAGCAAAAGGCACCACTTTGGGATCTGCCTCACATATCTGCCAAGTTTTGCTGAAAGATATTAAGAAGTTTTCAAGTTGTGCTCCGGAAACGAAACCCACCTCTCCCTTTTGGGACTAAGTCTGAATCGTTTCCATGAAAACCAAAAAAATTAAAATGCCAAAAATCTGTAAATAACAAAAGGCACCACTTCAAGATCTGTCTCATATATCTGCCAAGTTTTGCTGAAAGATATTTAGAAGTTTTCCAGTTGTGCTCCGGAAACGAAGCCCGCCCCTCTCTTTTGAGACTAAGTCCGAATTGTTTCCATGGAAACCGAGAAAAATAAAAATGACAAATATCTGTAAATAGCAAAAGGCACCACCTTAGGTTCTGTTTGTTATTTCTACCAATCTTTATTGAAAAATATTGAAAGGTTTTGGAGTTATGCTCTGGAAACAAAATGATTAGGGACGGACGAGGCGACGACTATATCCACCAGCCTTACATGCTGGGGGGGGGATAAAAAAAGAGAAAGAAAGAGAGAGATCAATCTGGAGCAGGTGTCAAATATTTATCCATTTTGGTACAACTGAGCATGATTATGGTGCCGACATAGACTGGATCCTTATCAGGGTGTGGCAGTTTTACAACTGGATCCTGACACACACAAGAGACATAACCAGGGTTTTACATGACGCGTGATTCCTGCGTATTTGATGCAACAATTTTGCAAACGACTCTCAAAATATTATCATACGAGTCAAGCTTGACGCAAGTTTTATGGGTGACCCTCACGATTCAGTTCAATAAAATCGATTTGATTAGCAAAAAATGATATTGTTCGATGATAGTTTGACTTTTACAGAGCTGTCAGATTATTCCAGAGAACTCAGAGGAGACAGTAATCCTGGCTGTTTGAATTGAACAATGCTGTAGTTTCATTTGGTGGTGTGACATAGACAGTTACATACTGAGAATGATTAACACAAAGAAATATTACAATTTTCATGACTCCCATATATTGAACATGCCTCCCCAAAATAGATATTGTGAGTCACCATGACTCACATTTTTAAAAGTCAGTGTAAAACCCTGCATAACTCTACACGCCTTGCAGTCTTAGACCTCACAGACCCTTCAGAATGAAATACAGAGGTCATCTGAGAATGTGGTATGTCAATTTGGAACAAAACATGTTCAACTTGAAATCAATCTATTCACTGATCAATTTTAGAAAAGTTCTTGGTCGCAAATGAGCTCACCTGACAGTGTTCCGACGCCAATAACCAGAGTTTCCACAATGGCATCCAGGGTGATTGATGGACCAATGAGGGCCATGCCTTTAGCTATGTTCTCTCTCACTTCATCCTGTGTGGAGGAGTTGAGGGCGAACCGAGCCAGGGCGCTGGCTTTAGACAGGTCAATCAACAGCAAGAAAAATGGCAGAGCCTCACTGGAGATGATAGAAACACCACTTTTTAGAGAATCAATTGTCAAAACCTCAAACAAAAACCAGCAAATGCATTTATGGTAAACTTGGTTCAAAAGTGAAATGTCTCATGACTAGAGTTGTGACGATATATCGTAGTATCGATAATCGTGATACTTTTTCTGACAATAAATATATCGATACTTTTTTCCGTATCGTGATATGTATCGTTGACCTTTAAATTGTGAATTTTCACCAGAAATTGATGGTTATGTCAAAATTTACACTGTTTCTTGTTATCAAGATACACTTTTTAAAAGAAAATAACTAAAGATAGCATATCGTGATATGCATCGTATCGAATCGTATCGTTCTATGATATCGCGATACGTATTGTATCGAAAATTTCTGTATCGTCACACCTCTACTCATGACACTTGGACGCATTATTAGGGCCATCAGTGTTATGTCTTTTGACTGCTTATGCTGAAAGAACATATGAAAATTTTCTTAATAAATTAGCCTTAGCTGATAGGGGTGGAAATAACCCATTGCCTGACACCCCAGTCCAGTGTTTTTTTCTGTAGGGTTAGCAAATTTGTATATCAATCACGCTGTACCGGTGTCCAGTTGACTTTCCAATGCTAATTATGTTGTTTATTTAAAAAAATCAACAAGAAAATCAGCCAGTACAGAGGAAAAATTATCAGGGCTAGTGAGTTTACATGTGCCACTGTACCGGAGTACATTAGCAATTTTAAAGTTATTTCCACCCCTGCAGATACAATTTCAGTGTAAGTTGAACGGAAACAATAAATGTGACCTGCTGAAATGTGTCATGGTCTGATAAATAATAATATCAGACCACTCAATATTCAAACCACATTCAGTATCAGTTAACTACTTACTCAAGTCCTTTCAGATTGTTGCCAAGGAGGTTGATGATGGCAACGCTGAACACAAAGCTTGAGAAGATGGTGAAAACTCCAGATATACCTGAATAAGGGAGACAACTCTATATTGTCCAACACCAGTATTATGTATGTATAGAGGATAAAAAAATATTCAACTCTAGGAACTGCCAATGAGGTGCCATGTATATTAGAATCATAGAACAGTTACTTTGGTACTGTGCTTTAATAATACATTGAATTTTCCAAGTATTGCATATTTTATAATTTCGCAATCACGACTATACTACGGACAAATGTTTCAAGATTATAATCACTATTATGATTACCACAATCACTTGGAAGTTGGAGAGGAAATAATGAAGTATGATAATACAGAAACATATCTTGATGCATGAGCAGAATCCGGCACTGGAATATACATATTGTCAACATTGAGATACAGTGAGACAGACAACATATAAATCATGCACAGACACCACAAACACAACACACAGATGGACATGCCAGGGTCCTGTTTCACAAGCAATCATAACACTATGTCTTAACTCCAACAGTTTAAAATAGAGATCTGACAGTTGGAGCTACAACTGCTTTGTGAAACTGGGCCTTGACCTGGTTTTCAACGACTTGTAATACACATAGTAAAGAGTGAACAGAACAGGAATTTGGGAGCTAATAGAAACTCTTACCAAATGCACAGTGAAAGATTATATTTCACTTGTTTTAAATTTCCAGATAAAACGTAGCCCCCCCCGAACCCCCCCACACACACACACAAATTATCATAAATACCTTGTACAGTTTAGTAACTGCAACACTGCACTTTAAAACCTATACTTTATAAAATCACTACATAATACTACTAATAATGCCCACTGACATCAACTGAAATACGTTTCTGAACATAAAAGCCTCCTTGATGATGAGGATATCAAATAATAACTCATTCAATTATAGGAACCGATTTGAAACCTCTGGCTGATTAATCCTTATTTTCCAAATCTATGGAAGAGGTTCTGTTTCACCATATTAACTGTGTTAACAGCAGATTTGTGGGATGTTTTTGCTGGAGCATCACTGCCCGAGAACAAAGATAATATTTCAGCCTAACATGGATTTCCCTGATCCCCAAACACACAGGATGTACAAACAACACGACAAGACCACAATAAAGGCAACATCAGCATGTGGAAACATAGAAAAGAAGCAAGATAAAAGGATCTCCATCAGATCATAGTGGACTCTCTGTTTAGGCCCACCCTTTCCTTAATTCAGCATGTCATACATCACAAGTTCTGCAATCAACCTCGTCATCCTCAAATCTGATGCCAACAGTCATTCTAATCACGCTAAAAGAATCAATAGTTTCTCAAACATAACTAACTTTGTCTTTCAATCCTGACCACCAAATATGACAGACATCAAATGTAGTTACTTGCAGCAGTATATGCATTATTTGTCAAATGATTACTAAACATTATGAAAATTATTAAACATGCAAACAATTTATACCTTAACAGACGAAATACAACAGAATGTGATGTAACAATAACTAAGCTTTTTGTCTGTGTACATATATACTTTAGCTAACCGAGCACCACTAACTCACTCGGGGCACACAAAGTGTTTTTAACTGAAATGCTCAAGTCACCAATATTTAAACTAAATCAAGTGTTATGTGTCTTGTTTGGCACAGCAAACCCTACAGTGGATGAATGTTATCATGGTTATGACAAACTGTTGTTAAACGCTGGAGTGCAATACTTCAGGAATAAGATTGCGGACATGTAAAGTATCAGGTCTGTACATGATGGCGATCCAATAAAAGATATTGTGAGAAACACTTAGTGATGTCAGGGTCCTATGACATGCTATTAACCAAGTAACCAAGCTTTACCAAGGTTTGCTAGAGTAATGCAACACATTGTAACCTGGAATCCTAACAGGGAACAAACAACAAATCATAACTACTTGATCTGCCCCACTTATAGCAAACATGCCATATCAGGGAGTGGGAAGTATTCACATCTCGAAGCCCATAAAATTAGAGAGCAGGGCTCGATTTAAGAGATGTTAACCTACTTGCACCAGGTGCACCCTAAGACAAAAACCTAGTTGCACCAGCCAAATTCCAGTTGCACTGCTTTTATTGCAACATGTAATGAAAGAAATAAGCTATTGAATCATTTAGATGTTTTATTACAAAGTTTACCCACTTGTCATTACTCAGATTCATCACTGCTCCATGCCTGCTCTGTCTGTGTTCTCTTTCCAGCTGCAGCAATCATCCTGTTCTTCTTCGTGAGCCATAGTGCAATGGCAGCATCTGGGTTGTAATCATGTGTGGCTGGACCATTCACTGATACAGAAAGCAGATCTGTCAGAGTCTCACTCTTCAATGAACCTCTCCAGTCAGATTTCACTCTCTTCATGAGTGAAACCCCTCTTTCACATATTGCGGAGTTCACTGGCAGTGAAAGGATTATTCGAACCAGGGCTAAGATGTCCTTGTTTTCACCTTTAAGTTGTCAAAACCCTTTCCCATACCTGTACAAGATTTTCTTCAAATCTGAGCATCCTCACAATCTGTTTCTTCACAGTAAGCCATTCCACTACTGCTGCTTCGGGAACATACCCTTTAGCAGTCAAGGGCCTGTCAAAGTGCTGAGCCAACAGCTGGATCTCTGTGTCCCCATAAGAGTTGAGTGCAGCTGGATCTTTGGGCCAGTTGTTGGGGTTGAGCACGTAGGATGCTCCACACACATCATCTGTCACATCATATCTTGATGCCAAATTTGACTTCATTTTCTGTATGATCATTTCTGCCGATTCAGTCGCATTTTCTTTTTCAGATTTTTTCACAGGTTGCTTTCCTCTTTTCTTTGGTAGTCCCCTTTCAGGTATACTAAGTGTCATCCCATGAAACCTGTACTCTGGGTTGTCACCTTCAGCCACTTCAATTCCTTTCATCATGACTTCAGTAAGTCTCTCTCTGTCTGTCAGCTTTTCAATATGTCCAACTGCCTTTTCTACATTCTCATGTACAGAGTGAAAGCCAGATTTGTCACATTGAAAAGATTTGCTCAGTTTTGACATCACTCCCAGAAGACTTGTGAGAAAATTAAGAATCATGACAAACTTCAGAGACTGGAGAAAAAGAAGTATGCATCTTGATTTTTCTTGATTGTCTTTATTGCCAGTTCTTGCTTCATTCTGAAGATGAACAGCCAGTGCTTCATACGACTGAGAGACAGCCTTCACAGCATGCTCGTGATGAGGGAGCCACCTCACACCAAGTATTCTAACTGGCCTGAGAAGGTTTACATTCAGTGCCTCAGCAGCTGCTTTTAGTCCTTGCCACCTCAGTGGCGAATACTTGTAGAACTTGTACAAGTTCACAAGAGTTTCGTCAAAGTCTTCCAAATAGGATATTTGCTTTGTGACATTTTAACTGCAAGTTCCAGTCGGTGGACACAGCAGTGGATTGCAACTACATGAGGGGCTAATGTTTGTATTCTCTTTGCCACACCTGACTTACACCCCATCATCACAGCTGCCCCATCAAAACACAAACCAACTAGACCACTTTTCCATTCATCCTCTGATAAATCAAGTTTCTCATCTAACATTTTCAAGATTGCCTCCTTGATGTGAAGAGCATCACCTCTTTCCACATTTGATGCACACACAAACACAGTTTTGGGTTGTCCAAATTTAATGTATCTCACATACATGATTTCTTGTTCCAAAACACTGCAGTCTGTTGACCCATCACATAATACTGAAAGAAATTCAGCTGTCCGAATTTCCTGACGAAAAGATTCACTGAGTAGGCCAATAAATTCTCTTGCTTTCTTATCATTTGGTATGTCTGGCCTGATTTAATTCCAAGTATTTCTAAAAGTTCAAGCATTTTGGAGAAATCTGTAAATGGTTTTTCATTTTTTGCTATCCAGTATGCTACTATGAATAAAATCTTCAGGGTGTCAACTTGATTTTCCTGCATTTTAAGAACTGTCTTTTCCAAAGGCAAAACTGATTTATTTTTGCACAGTTGTGCTAGTTCATGGGCCTCAGATCGGAGGTGAACCTCACTAGTTTGGTGGATTTCTATCACACTTAGTCTTATTGACTTGCACCCAATCCTAAAAGAATTACTTTTTCCACTTTTATCATACTTTTGACATGTGGCACAAGACATGTTATTTTCAATCTCATCATAATGTAACCAGTCCCTGTTTTTTTCCATTCCTCTTTAAATTTGTAAGTCTTAATTTTTTTTGCATTGCTTGTGGTTGGACTTACGTTTCAATTCATCATCTGTAGTTTTAACACCCTACCCCGAACTGCCACACGCATAGGCAATGTTAATGGAATCACTCATGTTAGTATCGGCACGTTTCCAAGTTTGGTTTACCACTTTTGTCAGCATCTTCACTTGATTTCTTCAGGAAAAATGCGTTAATGCTTGTCTGTTTACTTTTGCTATCTGTCATGGTTATATTCATTCACGGTTTGGATAAGTAAAGTTGACAGGAGGCTTAGTGTTTCACACAGCCATGTGCGATAAATCTGTTAACTATCACTTAAAATGATGACGTAGTGTGTTAATACGTCAGAGGTATCAGTGCACATAAACATATTTCTGTGACGAAGTACCCTTGAAACCATAGCAACACCGCTACACAGCCGATCCCTGTTTACAAGAGCTGTCACAGCCGAGCGGTGTCTATAAATTGCAATGTTTCGGTGCCATAGCTATTCAAAGTTTAGATGAAAAATGAGCTGACATAATTGTGCTCACAATGTTTGATTTATTGTTGATTTATTTCTCTAAAACTGACCTGCACCTGGTGCAAGTTAGACTAATAACTAGGTTGCATTTTGTAATACTGGGATGCAGCAGTGCAAGTTGCAAAGAACTAAATCGAGCCCTGGAGAGTCCACTATGAACTGAAACTTAGGTGAGACGAAGCAGGGGAAATAATAAATGTTTTACCAATAAAAGATCTTAAAACATCATGCATGGCCACAGGACAGAGAAAGGAGCATAACTATTGATATGAACCTGTCACAAAGCTTTGCTGCACAAGATTATAATCACCCAGGAGGTACTTGGAGCCCAGACGTCGCAAGTTGCGGAACTGCAGATAGATGTACATGACAGCAAGGCAACGTGTGATGGAGAGAATGATCATATCAGAGCTCTTCCAGTCCTGAAAACAGATAAAATTGGTTTTGTGACAATACTGCATGCATTATTTTGCCAAACAAATGACACTAAAATACAAGACAACAATAACCATGTTTGTATCATCTTCTTTTAGTCATTATTATTCACAATCATACTTGTAATATTATTATGACTATCGAGAATTTACGAATTTACAAACTTGCATGATTTAAATGTATAATAAAGATCATCCAGGGTTTTACATGACGTGTGATTCCTGCGTATTTGATGCAACAATTGTGTTAACGACTCTCAAAATACTATCATACGAGTCAAGCTTGACGCAAGTTTTATAGGTGGCCCTCACAATTCAGTTCAATAAAATCGATTTGATAAGCAAAAAATGATATTGTTCGATGAAAATTTGACTTTTACAGAGCTGTAAGATCGTTCCAGAGAACATAGAGAAGACAGTAATCCAGGCTGTTTGAATTGAACAATGCTGTAGTTGCATTTGGTGGTGTGACAGTTACATACTGAGAACGATTAACACAAAAAATTATTAAATGTTCATGACTCCCAAATATTGAAAATGACCCCCAAATATAAATATTGCGACTCACCATGACTCCCATTTTTAAAAGTCGCTGTAAAACCCTGATCATCACTGGTTACCTCTTATTGAGAATAATCAGGATGCATAAGCTGTTCAATGAGCTCATTCAAATACAAACTCAAATTCTTCATCTTGTTTATTCTCAATAAGAGACCACCAATGATGGTACATTTAACTCAAAGCACAAGTTGAACTTGTCTTCATAATTCTGAGTGGTAGACACCAGAGATTTCTTTGTCCATGAAATTGATGAACCTAAAATGTTTCATAAGTTTTTCAAGTTAACCACATACCTCTTCAACCCCTCTATTTCCCTTCAACATCTTGAACATGCTAAAATAAGATCTGTTACATATACTAAGAAATGAAGACTACTGGAGCAGAGCATCAAGCAAATGTTTCAGCTTAAAAGATCATTTGTAAATTTATCTATGGTGAAGGGGTGATTGTTGTTCCTGAAAAGGCAGCCTAACAAGGCAAATACAGTAATCATGTTAGTTAGTAACCATTACCTCCTCATTGTGGCAGTTGTAGTTCCAGCCACAGATTTTATTGCTGCCAGTGAAGACACTCATGGACATGAGGCATAGTGTTGTGGTCACTGTGCCAATGATCACTTCCCATGGGTGAGAGGCACAGAAATGGCCGTGTACTCTGAACACACGAGACAGCATCACAGAGCTTGTGGGGACGATTGGAGAAAAAAGGAAGAAGCTGCAAAAGAAAACAAATCAACATAAGTGTTTAAACTAGGATGCTAAACCAAGGTCCAAGTGAATGTTGAATAAAATCATAATATTATGAATAATCAATCTCAGTTTAATTTCTTTTAAGCTATTGCTCTCCAAACACATACTGAGTGACACTGGACATAACATGGGTAATGGTTTCCTTCCTTTACCATGTTTACCTTCAAAAGGTTCATATCATAACTGAAGTATTTCTGAATTCCAGCCCCTGAATTTAGCAAACTAATAACTTCACCAAGTTCTCTGGTTTTAAACAGTTATATAAATCCATGACGGCTAGAATGCACTTTACCGGGCGCAGCCCTCGCTGCTCACTTTACGATCCTTAGGGTTAGGGTATGGCACCCTTTACGATCCTTAGGGTTTAGGGTTAGGCACCCTTTACTATCCTTGGGGTTAGGCACCCTTTACGATCCTTAGGGTTAGGCAGCCTTTACGATCCTTAGGGTTAGGCACCCTTTACGATCCTTAGGGTTAGGGTTAGGGTTAGGGAACCCCAGCTGCGCTAATTATAATCTGAAAAAGTGCGCCCGGTAAAGTGCAGTACTCCCCTGATTCGTAGTGATGGGTATACTATTACTGCTGTACACAATCACAATTACTGTCTAATCGATTGTCGTACTACATTTTCAGAGATAAACAACCGAATCAAAAATTTATAATAAACCAAAGCTACAACAGGAAAATGAGTATGTACGATTTCATGATACACTAAAAAATCACGATAACAATTGTTTTCGTTCTAATTTGAGAAAATTAGAATATTTTTACCCGATCGAAAACTGAACAATCACATTAAATAACGTACCGTTTAAAGAAGAATGTTTTTCTTCACACGTGGCTTTGTGCCTATGGTTAAGGTATATTTTCCTTGTCTTTGAGACGCTTGTATGACATCGTAGAAGTGTCATGAATTTACGTAATCATAGCTAGTTGTACTATCATGAAAACATGATCCCATTTCTGAAGGTCTTGCCTCATGCCAAAATGGACGCACGTACAATGTATTACTTTCTACGTTACACATAACATATGTGATGAAAGTTGGGGCACACAGTGACAAAACGTATTGCAATAAAATATTAATTCAACATGCTAGATGTTATTGTTTGTATCCTTGAAGATTGATGAACCACAAACACACGACAATCCGTTAAATGTGAATCAATGCTAAATATAACTCAATCAGATAAAATAAGTTGATAGGATGACAGTATCTCAATAAATTCTTACATGCAGTTGTTTCCTCTCGTTGGCAAGATGAACGAAACACAGTATTTCGATTATGACGTGAAATAAATTGGGATAGGTGACAGTACCAAAACCCAGGCTATCAAGAAATACAAGCCGCATTAACACACTTGGGCTCCTTACACGAGATCATATTTGCGTCTGATGCGTAATGCAGATCTATAAATAGAGTACAGTTTGTCCAATGAACTCGTATGCTATTAATAGAGAGCCAATGTGTTTTTATTTTGGACCAACATATGACATACCCAACATACTGATGATCCCGAATAAGAAGTAAATAAAAACAAATGTTGAAACGTGAATCCATACAGAAAAATCAACTTCCTCTACCCACGGCTTCGTGCGTATATCATAATAAGACACGGTAATACAATATGCATACAGTATAGTTTAAATGTACATATGTACGAATTATAAGTAATATTTCTGCTTAACATAACAACTTGAAAGATACTAATGAAATATGCCCTATATAACAACCTAACAACCTTTAAACCTCCACTGGGTTTAACTTACAAAAGTGTAATTTAAATTACATATATTACCCATTCTCAGCGACATGTGAACTGAAGTAGTAAAATGTTTTACGCACGGAAGAGTAACATACGAGTATGCCGGGACGAAATTTACCCCAATCATCATTCCTACAGACTCATAAATTATAACAGAAATAATTACAAAAACAGCATTCATTTGTTAATTCATTGTTTAACGCCACACTCATGCAGCAATGTTGCAACTGTATGACAGTGACATGTATTCCAAAGTAATCTCGTTTGGACCAGTCAGTTCAGTGGTTGATATCGTGAACACGAGCCCAAGCAATACGACATGAAGTCAACCAATCACAGAACCCGACCACCGATCCATTTATTCGAGTGTCGATTATTTCAGAACAATTGGCACTTCACTGAAAGTTTTTCACCACACATAAAGCAGTTATTGCGTGAAAACATTACGATTTGTTTGTATATCCTTTGGAAGGTGTTACGATAAGCTTATATTTGCTCAGAAGAATGACCGATCAGATTTGAAATAATGATGTATTTTAACTGCAACAATCATAATTAGTATTATGATCATTATATAGTATAAGCTAGGGCACAAGTTGACAATGTAAACAACTTTGACAAAGACTATGACAGCGATATAGTACTTATAACTGGACATATTATGTTTGACAGCAGTGGGTTGAGAGATGTCATACCGTTTTAAATCAGCTGAACGCTGGCTCGTAATTTACTTAAACTACAAAATCAATACTCACGTTTGGAGCGGTCCCGCTCGTTCCGGATTTCATTTGACGTATCATTCAGCTATAAACGCATTCTTTCAAATAAGCCAAACGTCTGATTGTCAAAGTGTAAAATGTTTATATTTTCGAATGTAAAACACTCACTTTGGGTAATAACTGATTATCGGTCGTTATGAATGGCAGAGCCACGCGAGTGGTCTCATCTATCGTCAGACTATTTTGTAGACGCTGATTGGCTGATTTCGGGCGGTCAGAGGTCATACACCTGCCCACATGAGGAGACACACTGAGCGGGAACCAGAGTTTCTTGCGAACAAACAATGCCCATGATTCATTGATAAAGCGGCTTAAGTTTGAAATAGACGGATTAGACAGCAACATATTCCACAAAATAGGATATGACGGAGACAGATTGAATAATGCATAATATCCCAGACGAATCGATCCACTACAATTCTTTATGATCTCAACGGGACTCGATGGATTAACACACTTGCATCAATATCAATAGATTTTTAAAAAATTATGTAGAAAAGTACCTTAAAGCTGGAAACACAACACTTGCAAGTATAAAAAATATATATACAGAAAATAAGCACAAATATTTAGATCAAACTATTCAAAGACATTCACTCGATCTCTACAGCTTCAAACGATTTCTCGCGTCACGCCGAAGACCTGGGTTCGAATCCCCACATGGGTACATTGTGTGAAGCCCATTTCTGGTGTCCCCCGCCGTGATGTTGCTGGAATATTGCTAAAAGCGGCGTAAAACCAAACTCAGTCAGTCAAACGATTTCTCAAACTGACATTAGCCTTGTATTTCTATTTTCAGCTGAATTGTTTCATAACATCATTCTATGTACTCCAAATATATTTAATACATATATCTATCCATATCAATAAATCATGTATTTTGAGATGTATAACATAGCTCACTTCCAGCCTGATAAGCGAGGACACCCCCTACTACTGACTGACTGAGTTGCTGTTTTACTCCGCTTTTAGCAATATTCCAGCAACATCACGGCGGGGGACACCAGAAATGGGCTTCACACATTGTACCCATGTGGGGATTCGAACCCAACGCTTTTACCACTAGGCTACCCCACCGCCCCACCTAACACTGGTAATGCATTACTGTTACTACCTGTCCTATTTTAAATATTTATTCTAAATAAATCGTAACTAAGTGCACTCGTCATATATCGTAATATTGTGTGCAAAACATATAACTTCTTTATTCCATATGAATAATATTTAGGTTCACATTTGTCTTTATTTGATTTATATGATACAACAGTGTCGCAATTCTAATAGATAAGCTAATGTTTTCAATATGATGATGCCGACTCCCGTTAGACTAGAAGGTTAAACCGAAATGTTTATGAAAATAAATAACCTGTTAATAAATAAACTTTTTATATTGCAGCAATAAAAATTGAAATTACTCTCTTTTCGTCCATCTTTCAAAATAAATAATATAGCTTCAGTTTGTTCCTGTGTTTTTATTTGGACTATTCCATTATAATGTGTAGATATTAACAGGTAGTAGATAATCTGTTCACTGAACCGTAAATGTAGTTGAGAACTGTCTGTCTGCGTAATGGGAGGACACCCCACCAACCGGTGAACACCTGGGTTAGTCTTCAGCAACCCGTGAACACCTGGGTTAGTCTTCAGCAACCCGTGAACACCTGGGTTAGTGTTCAGCAACCCGTGACTGTCGTAAGAGGCGACTAACGAGATCCGATGGTCCATAGGCGGATCCGGATGTGTGTGTGTGTGTGTGTGTGCATCTGTGCGTGCGTGCTCACAGGCGTGTGCATCCCCCTTTTGTCCTGAAAGTCTATTAAATGACCTATGCAACCTCTGTGAAAACAGGTGAAAATGAACTGTGCCAACACACACACCCACCCCCACCCCCAACACACACACACACACACACATTCTGAACATTCGTGAATATTCTCCGTTGCAGTATCTGTTCTGCCATGACGATTCGAAGAGGGGTCCTTTTCAAAATACAGGTATACACAATGATTTATTTGTTTGTTGTTTAATGTCGCACTCAGCAATATTCCAGCTATAAGGCGGCGGTCTGTAAATAATCGGATGTGAACCAGACAATTCAACGAGCAACAGCATGAAATACGGGCAAGTGAAATTTTCTCTCTCATGTCATCGACGATTTAGATGTTTAAAGAGTCATTTTAATCTTTCACCAAACTGTCGCAAATCGTTGCTCCGTCATAAGAATAACGTCTCAATTGTTGAGAGCTGGCTTGTGTCAAAAGAAAGTGGACTTTATTCATCTTGCGATCGCCTATTCAGAGTCATTTCCGTCAAGCAATACTATATGACTATGCCAACGTCAGAAACACATTTTAACATGGCGTAACGTATAGGATATGGTGATAGATGCATTGGAATGAGAGTTGCATTAGCAGAGGGAACTCCTGGCTCGGTAACGTAACTTGGACGTGAAGACAATAGAGGCAGGACTGGAAGTAGATATGGATGTGGCCATGAGAGAGATCCAGCAACCAGTAACAGATGGAGCTACCTCCCCTAACACCCGAACTATTTGCACAACTGAACTACTTCGCCAACTACCTAAGAACAAAGCTAATTCCTCAACTCACTTACAGCAGAACAACCTCCATACCTCTCCAACAACAGAGCTCCCTCCCTAACAACAGAGCAGTTTCCTCAACAATACAGCTTCCTCCCCAACAACAGAGTTCCCTCCCTAACAGAGACAGCCACTAACAGCAGTGCTAACACCATAACAACAGTGACTGATAACGTTACCTTCGATCGTTTCCTTCTTGTTTTGTTCGCAGTATCAAATTCAGATCCGGGATTCATTTTGAAATAATCAGTTACCTTGCTTTGCACGGTCTTTGGCGTAATACATCTGTCTATGGTCCCGTTAACGTAAATAAATATATACATATTTAATAAAACCATACTCCTTGCAGGCCTGCGTTGAAATTAATATATATTATTTTCACATAGGTTGGTTTTAATTTGAAGTCAGCGGTGCGCTACACCCCTACAGCGCGCTCTAATAAAGGTTTTGTATGCCGACCCGCCCAGCATTGGGTATTAGGAACATGCTTATTTGTCAGGAATTGGCTCTTTCAGAAGACTTTGCATATACAAGTAACCTTGGTCATATCTAGAAACATCAACAACAACAATGACTGTTAACAGGGGATGTTGCATTTTGATCGATCTGAAAACAGAGCAAGCTCGTGCTGAGCATACAGAGGAACAGTCATGACTTTAATTAGATAGGTAAGTTAATTGTCCGCTAAACACCAGGTGACTAGACGGTTATTGATGTGGTGAATCCCTAGAACACTAGTTTGCTGCTACGAAACCAAGAAACATAATCGGGTTGAATCGGGATTCGAGGCTATGATCAGCGGATCCTGGTTCAACCAAGAGACGCAACACAGTACAGCACCTAACGGCGCATTACAGTACTGGAACGTGAATGTTTCTCCCTGAAGGTATAACTGATATTTGAAACCGACAAAGAGTTTGCTGTAAAAATAACAGGTTTATTTTGGCTGATTTGGGGGGTGGCGATTGGTATAACAGGTCCACAGTCCTTACAAAACGATACTGCACTACAGTAAAACCCTAGCAATACGGACTCAGTTAGCTCCTATTAATAATGTTCATGATTAAAGATATCATGCTTTCAGATTATTGTCATTTTGTATGCATGCATTGAAGCATTCACATCAGCAGTCGTCCGGAAAATACAGTGTCCGGGTTAACGGAGTGCGGATAAACGAGGTCCACTATGCAAAGACATGTGTTTTCCATTTGGAAATATATATGTTAGCGACAAAGACTGGGTGCTTTGCTGGTGGGGAAGGGGTGTGTGGGGATGTTGGGGTGCGGGGATGTGGCTCAACGCTTCCACGCGTATCTAAAACCTGAAGAGTTCATTGACTCTGCATATCGCTTGATGGGTTGTGCATGCACTAGATTTTAACCACTGATAAAACGGCTTTCCTTGATCTCAAACTGTCTTATTTAAATCTTCTTATTTGTATCGAAATTGACACGTACAAGGATAGAGCCATATGGACGATCGAGAGTCATAGCGCAACACAACCTGGTTTTACTTCTCTATCCTCAAAGGGGAGTATGGTTTCACGTTGCTCTGAGGGTCGTTTAATACCACGACATGTCAGCTCGGTGTGGCAAGAAAACACGACGCAGGTCTTAGATGTTTACAACGTTACTGAAACCCACGAGGATGGCGAGACAAACATAGAAACTGGACCAGGGCGAGTCGGGATTCGAACCCACGATCTTAGGTTTCTGGCACGTCTAAGGGACGCAACTCTGCTTAGCGAATCTGCCACCTGTCTGTCGTGTACAGTGAGCGTATTCGACCAAATGACAACGAGTTTGGAATGAAACTGATAGGATCTGTTTGATTTTAAGCACTATTCTGACAAAAGACATGTCAACGTCTTGAAAAACGACTTAACGGTTATTGACTCTTGCGGGGTGGTGAGGTAGCCTTGTGGTTAAGGCGTTCGCTCGTCACGCTGAATACATGGGTTTGATTCCTCCTTTTTGTATAATGTGTCCATTTCTGATGTCCCCCGCCGTGATATTGCTGGAATATTGCTAAAAGCGGCGTAAAACCCAACTCACTGACTCACTATTGACTCTTGCTGAGATTGCTGTTTGATTTTAAAACGAAACGGAGCGAGGCATATCAAGTACGTATAATGTAAAAAACACACAACATTACTATGATAAATAACGTTTCGTAGTATTTAATATAGATTTGAACTATAAATGCAATTTCTATATTAAATCGAAGCCATTACAAGGTCCGCATGGCCTCTCCTTCAGCGCATGCACCTTACAACGGAATTTCCCCACCGAATATGAGTTGGCCGTTCCGACATTTTAATAACTTACAGTAACATAAATACATTACACATGTCAGCAACAGTGATATAATAACTAATTAATATATAATACTTATATATAATTAATTGCATTAATAAAGGACATGAATTACATGACTGTAAAATGTTTCTATTCTATTTCAAATTCTACAATTTCAAATGATACCCAATGTATAATATAATATAGAAATAAGGTATTTCCACTTGTTCATTTACAACCGAACAAGTATATTTTGTCATTTCCCCCTACCGCATTCCGGTTCATGTTGAGTGATGCTATATCCTTTCCCCGCTTGGTGTCGCTGCTAACAGGTGTGACGATCTGCCGTGTGTTAGAGCACCTCTCGTGCGTTCGCTGTATTTACATACTTGATCAGGCGAGCCTAGACTTATACCAGTTTCCTTACTTCGGTAAATGTGCAATCTGTTGTTTGCCCCGACAGTTCATCGTGACAAGTATCTATTTCCTTCCTCGTCCGTGTTAAATCTTTATACACATGGACGTGGTTGTCATTCCATGTAGACTGCACCCAGTTTCCCGTCCGTGTTAAATTTTTAAACACATATATACTTGGTCTCTGCTCCTTATGTAGACTGGTCCCAGTTTCCTGTCCGTGTCAAATCTTGATCGTCATTCCAAGTACAGCGGGTGGCCACAATATTACGTACATTGATGGCGGCCGAGTGCGACGCCTCCTGTCAGCGCGGTTTATTCAAATGGTGATAGAGCATGAAATAAAGGGTGACTTACCTCAATACTTGGTCATATGACCCTTGTTCCTCAGAATTTTCACTATTCTCCGTGGAATTGATCTGTACAAGTTCTGTATGTGGTTAACCGGCGTGTTTTGCCAGATATCCCTGATTTCTCTCTCAGTCTCCTACCTCTCCGTGACACCTTGGCAGCACGACCTGTTCGATGGCGATTCTCAATCGAGCCTCTTCGTTGAAAACGGTTTACACAAGAATAAACAGTACTTCTGGGCAAGCCGAAATGTCTTGCAATAGCTGAACAATTTTGGCCTTCCTGATATCGTTCTACAATAATAGTTTTAACGGCCGAAGGCAAGTCTTGAGATTTTCCCATGTCGACGAAAATAGCAGACGGAAGCGAGCAGACGACTTTTTTCAGTCGCGTGAATGCCACGTGACGATAGGGCGTGTTCGGTTCTACTATTTCGCTAAGATTGGTTACGTTTAGAGAGTTAGTTTTCAAACGCGATCGTTTCAAAGTAAGATTAATTTCTAAACTTACTAAAAAAATATGGACAATGTACGTAATATTGTGGCCACCCGCTGGTCCCAGTTTACCGTCCGTACTAAATATTTATTCATACAGACTTGCTCGTTGCTTCTTGTAGACTGGTCTCAGTCTCTTGTCCGTGTTAGATGTTTCTGCATGCAACTTGGACGCGACACCATGTAGACTGGTCCCAGTTTTCTATCCGGAGTAGAAATCTAGTATGTTTATGTGTAAACTTATTTAAATATATATCGAGTTTGTAAATGATTTCTTTTGATAAAGCTCACGACATTGACATTGTTGACAGCCGTCGATGATACGCGATAGCTTGTGCTAACTTGTTATTTTTGTAATATTAAACACGGCTAATATGTGAAAATATGCGCTCAAAGCATCCTGACCGATACGCGGTGGGGTAGCCTAGTGGTTAAAGCGTTGGCTCGTCACGCCGAAGACCCGGGTTCCATTTCCCACATGGGCACAATGTGTGAAGCCCATTTCTGGTATCCCCCGCCGTGATGTTGCTGGAATATTGCTAAAAGCGGCGTAAAACTAAACTCAGTTAGTCAGTCAGTCCTGACCCATACGATTAAATGGATAAATAATGCAGATCAATAAATGTACAATATTTGTAATTGTATGCATCGTTTCTGCAACCGGGAACATGCACGTCATCTCACACATCAAGAAGTATGCAAGACCTTTTATACTACCAGAAATATATTTCCTGAATTGATTCAGATTCCCGCGAAATGCAAACTTAATTCACCTTCCCTGTTTGCTGCTTATTGACCTTGGTATCAACTGCAGTTGTTTTTCATCCTTTGAGTGAGTGGTGTCAACTCTGCTGATACTAACTAAATTAACGACAATTTATGCAGAGCGGATTTGTGTGGTTCATTGTAAAAATAATGAACCATAACACTTGAAAAATTAGGACTGGTCAATATGCATAACTCATTTATTATATGCAGAAATGTGGACATATGACACGTTGGAATAAACCTAATGTTGTCATTTGAACAAAAGATGTGATGACATCGACCATCCATATATGCTACCCAGAACCAACCCCAATAAATGACGGTGTTCCATATTCTTTCTGTAAGTAGATGCATACATTCAGTACAATTGTTACTTTCTGAAGCAGCATCATATGAATGTGGGAGTGTTTCGAGATGGAGTGAGTTTCGAGGTACCAGCTTCCTCTCATCTTGGTTTTTATGGATATACGATGTCAATAAACCACTATCGTCGTTTGTAGTTATTTGTTGTTTAATGCCGAAATCAGCAATATTCCAGCTATATGACAGCAGTCTGTAAATAATCGAGTCTGGACCAGACATTCCAGTGATTGTCATCATGCGCACTGGGAAACGATGACATGCATCAGTCAGCGACCTGACAACCCGATCCCGTTAGTCGTCTCGTACGGTAGTCGGTTGCTGAAGACCAATTCTAACCCGGACCGTCACAAATGTGTCGTTTTAGAAAGGTGGTCTTTTCGTTCGATAGTTTCTATTTTATCCTAGTATTACCATTGCTCTTGTTGATCCATTCTGAAATCAGTGATGCCGGTACTTCCTTGTCCATGTCCTGATCTGTTAAATGAGCTGAAGGAAGTATGGTGAGTGTTCACAGAAGGACTGAAAGAACATGTGACAGCTTTATTACAGTCACGTTGGAAATACCTCGTGATATGCATGTGGATTGGAGAGGATAGGATCGAGTAATACATTGAAAGCTCATAACACATAACGATTCTCCCTAACTTCTCCAGACAGCCTTTCCACGGAGTTTCTGAGTTCGGAGATTAGAAGACAGCAATCACCTCCTGCATACCTCACCAGTGCTCCCCAAAAGCTGTAAAATGACCCATATACATGCAGAAAAGTAGACTGAAGATCACTGATTGAAGGTTTGTGATCAGCTGAGTCTTATCGGACAATGGCACGTCAGATGTGATAACTTGCTAATTTGTCCTGGTTGCGGGCTGCTTCCAAACTTGCACATTTTGATTGCACACCTGTCTTCTTGGCTGCCAAACATTCACTGACTGTCCTGGGTAATGCAAAATTCGATCTTGAATTGTGCAAGGTTATGTAGATGACTGACTGACTGAGTTTGGTTTTACGCCGCTTTTAGCAATATTCCAGCAATATCACGACGGGGAACACCAGAAATGGGCTTCACTCATTGTACCCATGTGGGGATTCGAACCCGGGTCTTCGGCGTGACGAGCCAACGCTTTAACCACTAGACTACCCCACCACCCCTATGTAGATGACAGGTAACAGAAGTGAACTATTTGTTTAAGGGTTTTTCGGTTAGATTGTATTTTAATGAGTGGTACAAAGAGCATAGATATTCCCGTTAGTTTCAAGGACAATCTGTCTAATTTATAGACAACGTGTTGTAGACTATAATTGGATTGATCGGATAGTTTTGTTTCAGGGTCTCTGTGAGACAGAAACGGAGACTATGCAAGTCTAGTATACGTGTTATCTGTGTAACATGACCCGGTCTCCTATGCCCCGTAGATACACATACTGACCTGTACTCCAGCTATATCCTCATATCAAGTATATATCCCGGGAATGCTTTACAGAGAGATTAATCAGGCAGCCCTTGACACAGCCTGTTCAGTTCAGTGCCGGGTGATCCCAAATGCAGTCAGGCCATGGTGGCCTACTGGGTATCGGGTATTTTTTAAATCGAATGAGACTGTGTAAATTCCACTCCTCTTTCCAAACGACGGGGCAGTAAGGACTCGCCCGACTGAACCACGCAGTGTATGCGTAATACAAGAACTATGGATGAATGAGTGAGTGAGTTCGGTTTCACGCCATATTGAACAGTATGAACAGTGTGATCAATTATATCACACCTGTCCGTCTGATTTGGTAGTAGACTGAAGAGACGCAGGTTGAAAACCGTTACAACATATTTAAAACTCGGAGCTCGGGTATGACGCTGAAACAAGTACAAATATTCAGCTCTAATCCCAGACTGGAGCTGCCGATCATAGGTTCCTCTCACACCTAAGGGAGGCAAACCTGTACTTTCAATTGGACACATTGCCCCGGTTGGTGGACATCCTCAGGGTGTGTTTGGTCATTGATAAACCATGGATCATATATAATAGTTATGTAAGCATGACTTACACACACGATCCCACATACGTGCAATAATCATGAAAGTTACGTTAAGCCCTATTTTACCACAGCAAACGTCCGATTTCATACAAGTGTCAGCTATAGGTATATCTGCATTAGTCGTTGCCTAGTAGGTCGTTCGAAAGTGGAAAGATTTAGAGTCATAAGTTGACGTTGACCTGTCGAGATATGTGACCACCGTGGTTTGGGGGTCGTCTCAAATGTTGACTAATGTACTAAATGAGAATCGTTACCATCAAAAATACCGTGGTTATATCACATATCAAATCAATTTAAAATCAACCTGAACATGGCATATTCAAACAAACGAGAAATCGATGCTCAAGCTGTTGATCACTGGTCTGGTCCAGACTCGACTATTTACAAACCGCCGCCATATAGCTGGAATATTGCTGAATGCGTCGTAAAACTAAACTCACTCAAACAAACGAGGCACTCTTTAAACAAATATAACCGTTGGTGGTCTCCAAACGAGGTGGCGATAAGCCATATATATATGGCTGTAGTCGATCTGAGTCGTCTGATATTTATTCAGTTGAATTACACCAACATAACTTGACCGCCATAAAATGAAATCTCTCATTTCGATCCATACGTAATTTGAAAAAGCCAATTTGCTCGAGGTCAAGGTCGTTATTTCGAGTCGATCACTCGTCCAAAAGAATGAGACTACGTTTTCACGGATGCCCCTGATCTTTGTATTGTATTGCATGACACATGCTATCAAACAAGTCGGCATTTTCACAGGCCCTTACTCACTCACTCACTCACACAGTTCTGCAATCGTCGGAAAACTGAAACAAAATCCAAACTTCAGACAGTTTTACTATATTTGGAGAAGGTGGTGTCGGATATTGTGAATTCTTGGATATTGTGATACAATCGTGATTAGCCAACACACTGTTCGCAATCAGATCGAGGCCTATAGCCGCGTCTTCCATTATTTATGGTGGTAAGGCAGTTTGTTAGCTTTCATTTCGTTTGT